AATCAAGTACGGATGGATAAACCACATACCAACCTGGACATTCACGAATTTTTTTGCACAAGGCGGGAATACTGCTTTAGCCGTGCGCAAAATTAATCCTGCATGCCAGGGATAATGTGGTACACATTTTTCATATTTTGGCATAGAAGTACATATACAAAATTGGGCATATGTTCATTCAACGTAATCTGGTAACTGTGTGTTATATTTGTGTTGTTTCGATTCAAGCGGACAAATAATTAGCTTCATGTATTTGAATTAGTGCGTAACTTTCGGAATATGAAAGGGAGGCCTGCAATAGGTGGGCTTACACTTGAAACGTTAACCGAAAATCTGAAATGCGTTTTCGTTTGGAAATGATTGATTAAGTAGGGTTTTCAATTTATTTATCATGTAGCATAATACTATAATAATTCTGTTACCTCAGGATACCGAATTTCGAAAGAAAGCCTTTGCGGCCGCATTCAAAAAACCATATTCCCTTAAAATTTACAACTGAAGAAACGGTATTTTTTCATGCTGATTTTCGTCGTCATTAGGAATTCAAATATATCTTGGAAAAATGCATTAAAAAATTCTTTCATTTACTTACTTGGTAGACAATCACGATTTCTTTCAATTTTATGCTTGCAGAGAGGGTATTATTCGGTTGTAAAAAGTTTCTAATTGTTAGGTTTTTTAATACTGGCAATTGCCTGTTCACAAAAGAGTGTGCCTCTGCATTTGCTAACTGAACTTGTAAACTTTACGTTATGGCTAAAATCTACTGCCAATTTTTTGAAAATCCATATGATCTCCTACTATGACCGTGAAAAAATGCACGGTATCGCGTACGCTGGAAATATAAGGCATTTTTTCAGCGAGACTATCGGACAGTCGAAACAATATTTGCTCAAAATCTGGCAAACTGGCACGACTGAAATGCTATGGGATTGTACTGCATAAAAATTAATATAATAACCTTATCTAAGAATCACTTTCGTTTAAAAGCAGATTTCAGAATTTTAGTCAACATTGCTTGAGACTGATTAGGGGCTTTAGCGCAAAACACTGCCCTAAGTTTTTAGAAATTTTTATGCAGGAGACGTGACTCAGTCCTATTTTCACGCTTAATGACTTGAACAGTTTCTTTTGTATAAAATAAATTTAAATATACCAACGTGTAACTTTCCGAACATGAACTGCAGGCCTACAATTATTTTCATATTAACAATTACCGGCCTCCACGAATAACCCCCGTGCATTTTATCCTCGTTAACGATTTTGTGGTTCGCTGGCAAAGGAACTATAGTATTTATTTTGACAGTACAAATAAAAAAATGACAGGGGAAGAAAAGTAAAATTCTCCAGTTGAGCAGTACGTAGTGTGAAGGATTTTACGTGTGGAGCTCGCTGTTGACCTCATCAACTACACTTTCGACATCAAAAATCGAATAGTACTGTAAGTTCTCCTTCACGGGAGCAGACACAACATGCTGTCTGGCATGGTACAGAAATTGGCCTGATCTTTTCATTTACTTCAGCCACTGCTTCGGATGGGATGACCCCAGACTGCAGGTAAACGGATATCTGCACTGTAAACCACATAGAGTGCTAATCAAACCTTTATAAAAAAAATCCACATTTGCATCATTGATGCCATTTTCTCGCTCGTGGGTAGCTTTATGTGTGCTGCAGCTTCTTGATTTCAAATCTAGATAAATATAAATTTTCTTCGTTGAATATCCAATCTGGACTCGAATATGAAAAGGAATTAGAGAAGGCTAACTAAGCAGTAACAATTATACTCGGCCGATCACAAGTAGATGATACTTAATGAAGCATAAGACTACAGGTGCATGTGACGTGAAAACGGATTCTGTGGGCAACAGAGGTCAGACCGACAGTCAAAAGCCTTGGGTGCGGTCACCTCGCAAGCTATTACGGAATGACAGACTTAATTAGTACAGTTGGGTCGGGGTTTTCCCTACGAACTGACAGACAGAACTCGGGGGTTATGACTAATTCAAGTGAAGAGCTCCCATAGTACTTTCCATAGGTTTGACTGAAACCCACTGAATACCATTAATGAGTTCAAAACTGCACTTAAACAGATCAAGTCACTCTGCACCTGAAGATAAACAATGACAAAGTTGACTGAAGGAAACGTTCAAAGTACTTCACCGCGGACAGTCTGAAAGTACCTAGTGTGACCGATGAAGTGCAAAACATTAATAACTAGCCACAATTTTATGCGAGATTCCGCCAATAACCCCGATGCACTGTGCCAACAACATGAAATTGTAGTTCAATTTTACAGTTTATTGTTCGCTGAGAAACAAACTTTGACGGCATGAGTCATAGAATCAACAGGTGAAAAACTGCAAAATTTCCCTACTTTGTGAATTCGCTGGGCTCAACCTTAGAAAAATGGCAAATGTTATAAAGGAATAAACTCTGTTCATGGGTATGCGAGGGCTTTTGGGTTTATAACTCACTGTTGTCCCCATTACCTACACTGTGAGCCTTATAAATAGATTAATTTGCACTCCAAGTCACAAGAGATATTCATAACTCCCCTCGGTATTGTCATCTCCAAAATGTGACATCGTTAGATCATTTTCATGAGCGTGGACCCAGCAAGCTGCCTGACATGAGGCACACAGAATTTCACATGACCTCTTCAGTTAATGCAGTAACTTCTTTAACTGGAATCGCCCCAGTCTGCAGGCAAACGGACATCTGCACATTAGAACTCACTGCATTCTAAGATACCGTTAACAGCTAAATTCCACATCTGTAGTATTGATGATATTTTTCATGTTTGGACTGATTTAAGTGTGTCCTTATCTCTCGGTATAAATCCATATAACTTTGGGCTTTCCGTGCTGACCTAACCAATCCGGAGGAGTACATAAAGAGGAATTAGAATTGTCTAACACAACGTTAAAAATTATCCTCCGCTGATCCAAGCCAGAGGTAGCTGAAAGAAATGCGCATTCTAACATAATTCAACACGTGAAGTTTGCGTGGGAGTAGATTATGCGAACAACAAATGCCAGACAGACAGTAAACGAAAGACCCGCCGCATAATTTGTGTGCGGTCACATGGCGAACTATTATGGGAAGGTAAACTTAATCAGTACAGTTTGACCGGGGTTTTCCTTACGAATTGACAGACAGAACTGGGAGGGCTTGGCCCATTCAAATGAAGCCCTCATATATTATTTTCATGGAGTTAGGTGAAAACCAACTTGATGCCATGCAAGTGTTAAAAAGTTCCTTTCAAACAAATAAGGCGACTTTGTAACATAATTGGAAAAAACCTTGACTGAATGAGAAGTTCGAAGTACTCCACCGTGGACGGTCTGAAGTTAAATAGTCTGGCCGATGACGTTTACCGTACTGATCACGCGAGGGGGTTTCTTGTGACATCTTTACAGATCTGTGCAGGTTTTACGGCACGAAGCTTCATTTAACCCGGCTTACGCCAACCCTGTTAACATGATTGCAGCAGCAGAATCAATCTTTAGTCAGACGGAGACAACGAAGGAGACTGAGAGCCTCATCCGACATCAGGTGTTGTCTCTCCTAATGGCCCACAGGCCGCAGGAAGTGCTGCCCAAGGTCAAACGTGATGAGCTTAGAGAACTCAAGGCCGACAAAAACCTGACCATCGTGCCAGCAGGCAAGGGGCGCTCCACGGTTGTACTGTACGGGACAGACTACCTTCAAAGCCAAAGGTGGCTGATGGAAATGTTCATTCTAACATAATTCAACACGTGAGGAATGTGCGGGAATAGATTATGCGAACAACATGCCAGACAGACAGTCAACGAAAGACCCGCCGTATAATTTGTATGCGATCGCATCGCGAACTATTACACAGTGGCAGAATTCATTACTAAAGTTGGGTCGGGGTTTTCCCTATGAACTGACATACAGACCTCAGAGGACGTGACCCCTACAAATAAATTGCTCCTATAATATTTTCATGGGGTAATGGGAAAAACAATTTAATGCCATCCAAGTGTTCAAAAACTGTTTTTAATCCTCTAGGGCAACTTTGCAGCATAATCGAGGAAAAAGGATGAATTTGGCTGAATATAATGGTAGAGGGGAGTTCACCGATCGTAGGGACAACGGGCCCGTGGCCAAGGGGTTAGAGGCGTTGGACTTCTAACTAACAGGCCGCGAGTTCGAGCCCCAGGTGTTCCACACTCGGGGTTGGGTATGGCTGACTGACGACGGCTAATAAGCCGCAAATGGCCATTCAGGTCTCCCTTGTCTTTATTGGTAAGAACATTCTGCACATTATCGCGGACAGTCCGAAATTGCACTGTCTGACATATGGAGTTCAAAATGTTGATCATTTGACAGGATTTCTTGTGACATTTTCACAGATCTGCGCAATTTGCCCAAAACATGCGTTCCAGTTAAAAACCCACTTTCCCACGAGCATGCGTAACCACTGGCGACTGGGTTCCTCCTCAGTCTTTTCCTCACTGTTTTGCTGTATCCGTATTTGAGATGAATAAGACCTTATTGATTTTGCAAAAGACAGTAGTATGTGGATGTAATTGAGAAACCTAACCGTAATACTGAAACCTAGTTGCACGCTCAAACCCTAACCATAACCCTAAAACCTAAGCCTAAATGTATAACCCTAACCCGAAAAACGAAAACCATTAACCGGTACCCTAACCCTAACCTCAAACGTAAGACGAAAGCCAAATGACTCAGATGTGATTATGGAGGCCCACAACATAGCTCCAGTAAACAAAGCCCCCAGCCACCTGTAATACGGGGCCTGGCTGCCAACTGCAATCTAGCCGCTAATCCTTAGGCGAAATTACGTGCAATATTTCACACTACTATTGACTTATGCCTTGATTGTAACAATATGTGAGAAAAATACATGGCAGGCGGGATAAAAGTAGCAAACTGCTCACCACGTGACGACTCTTCACACGCAAGCGATCGGAAATGATTGCGATCTGCCAACATCCATCTTCGGCGATTCATAAGGTCTGATAATTTATCAGTAAACGGTATTTTTTGAATGTGCCAGACAAAGGCGATTCTCTTTGTCTCCATAAGATAACAGTACATATACCCTGCTGTGAATGTAAAAATAAATCACAAGTAATTAATCCAGACCGCAGGAAAGATGACCACGGATGCTTGACCATGTCTCTCGCATGGAAATGCCCAAGAGTGTGACTCTGGCTACCAGGACCTTCACACCCGGTCCCGGATGGAGATGGACGCCAGTTGAGAGGATGGTGTATTCTGCAGAGAATAACTGGAAGAGCGGCCGGGGCAGTCGGACGAGGTGCGCGCCCGGAGGCCGGAGGGCGGCGTCCCAAGTGTCTATCATGGAATGCGCCTAAGCGTCTTAGAGCAGTGAACGTCTGACTCGACCTTGAATCTGATTGGCTAGTTGAGAAGCCGATTGAACGAACGCCAGACAGCCCTGGTGCGCACGTGTAGACGATCGCGAGAGGCCCAGCGTTGCGACATGCTTCAGTCCTACCATTTAAATGTGACCTTGAATGACCGTCTCGTAAGTGCACCAATCGATGAGCTGTTATTACCTCTGCCTTGTCTCTACATTCATAATTAAGATCGCCCTCAGATGTGTGAATACGTTGCCCTGTCAACATATTATTTGTTCGCTTAACCTTCTGATCATTCTTGGAAAAAATGAAGGAAGACATTCTTAACTCAGATGACATTTACTTGATGTTTTTGCAGATCTACGTAATGGATTCACCAGGGCTGTTGGGTACAGGTAGTGCCTGAAAAGATTTAAGTGCCTTCTGCAAACCGTGACCTGTCTGTCTGGAGAACAGCCAATTACCTACATCACGCAAACATATTTAAACCAGTCCTGCAATCCCATGGCACCCTTACACTTGATGCACACATGCAGATGATGCATCAAACTTTACTACTGCTTCATGTGAACATGTTTTCCATAATCGTTACTGCATGTATTCTAAATCCAGGTTAGTGATTCCTCCTATCTTTATTATTGCGACCTGCATCCAAAATTCTAGACAGCATCGAGTGTCCAGCAATCATAGATGAGCTGTCTCCGCTCAACGCCCAACATCTTCTGTCAAAATCCGTCGGAGAAGTCCGCAGATTCTTCTGGATACGGAAGACCCCCTGCAATTCTACAATAAGGGCCATTGACTTCGGAGAGGATGGTGTTTGCACTAATTACGATGATGCCAACGCCATACCTGGGTTAATAAATTGCGAGCTGAATGTGACTTTCATCGTCGGTTCGTTTTCATGCGAGGTAAGTTTTGTCAGTTTGAAAGAAAACGCGTGAAATAAATGCCTGTAGATACACACATACACACAGAGTCGTAAAGCATCTGCGGGACTAGTTATTTCGAAATCTGGCAAAATGTTCTGGTAATCCAGATGAAATAACTTGGTTGGAATTTTTGTGGAAGGAGTTGAAAAAATATCGCAAGTATCTCGGAGAATATATTTTTAAATTTTCTACTTTACTGTTTATATAGCTGTTTATAATTTGCAGATACAGAACTATAAAGAAATTCATCTAAGGATTTGATCCGGCCGCGCCTCGGCCTCATGTTCAGCGACCACTTAGTAGCCTTTGTGCATTTGTGATGCTAAATGCTCATTCAAATTACAGTCAGATATTAAAAACAGTTGTATATACGACGTGCAAAGCGATCAACCGAGGGAAAATCCTATGACGTCCCTGTAATTTATTATTATCAATCCGTGTGTCTATTATTTGGATGGTATGATTCAGCATTGTAAAAATGGAAGTTATTCACTTCCTCTGTTCAATAGGAGGGCATTTTCGCCGCTATAAACGGTGGCTCCGTTGGATACAACATGCAAGCCATTACAACACTTCGACGTCACGCCAACGACACTTTGTCCCTCCAACGGGTGAAAATCGGCCGAAAGAAACAAATTCAGACGGAGACACATGTTCCACCCGCAAAAGCTGCGGATGTCTTTGAAGTGGACAGGGCGCTTACGTATATGCTTTCATTGCGTGATTTTCGGTACTGTATGCTTATGAGATGTAAGCCCTTGCATAAATCGTACGTATACATGGTCTTAGCTAATGACGCCGTGGGAGATAAGTAGAAATTAAAGCTTTGATTGTGATTCAGTTAGATTTCGTTTGGACTTAAGCAAAAATATAAATTACCGTGGAACCAGCTTAAGGCCTTAATTTTTAATGTTCATTCCCGTCAAAGGTAGCCCAAATAGGAACTACTGCTAGTATTTTCATAAAATGACCTGCCGTTTATTGACAAAATCACTAGTATAGGTACTCCATTCCGGGCGTGAATATTTACACCGTTTACTTTTTTACAATACACAAATGACGACAGTATGAATAATCTTACAGGTCACATAAATATCTCTCACTGAGTTTTATGGGTCTGTCACATATTTCGCATATTTTAAATAATTTAATTTGCGCGACTGGGATAAAATCGGCGACCTCGTTGGAATTTGAATCCAGCTCCACCTGATGAAATCAATGCTGTTGGGGTTGAGACTAATGATTAGGGTTAGGGGTAGATGTTAGGCTTACGTTTTAGGGCAACTATTTCTCAAGCAATCAAACTACAACCGTGCATCCCCAATAGCTTTTCTTTTGCATACAAGTACGTGACCTCGTCGCCTGTGCGTTCCCCGCCCCACCTCTAAAAAGCCCCTTTACCACCGGTACCGTATTAAAGGCGGCCGGGGTTTGTTTACTTCAGGTGAGGCTACATAACCACATCTGACCTTTATTTGTACGAAAATATCAGCACAAAAAATGTATTCTAAAACTTTATTCTGACAGCAGGACAAGGAAACAGGACAGGAGTGTAGACATCTCCACAGCCATCGTCGCAAAATAGTTTTTAAAGTACCCAAATCATTCTTCATGATGTCTACGTATTTTAATCTTACTTTGCTTCTTGTGATTTCAGTTGAAAACATTGTGGAATTTGTCGACTCAGAATTTCGATTGTGAAATAAAAGATGCCGCCCAATGAATAGCCTTTACCAAACACCGCGTTGATGAATCAGAAAACCTTCTTCTATCCTTTACAAGAATGAGACCTCCCTTCCTGGCTTTATCAAACCAGTGAGAAATGAAAGTGTAGTTTTTTTCATTTATAAAGTACATGTGGTGCCAACGACTCACGTCTGCATTATTATTTCCGTCAATGAAAATTATCTGGACCAAATGAGAAATCCTTACTACGTATGTTGTCTTTACGTAATGAAAGGACTTCCGGTCGACTGGATTTCGATTAGCCGAGATCGTTTGTGTCAGCGTACTGAGTGTAACGGGAACGCGCAACTTGACTCACCATGCTCGTCGTCCGACTTCTACGTGTGGCAGGGAACTGCCACCTCACCGAAGGTCAGTTCCGTTCACTAAGCCCACTGATGAGCCAGAAGTTAGCACGCCCCCCCCCCTCCCCAATCATTTGCTACACAGCGGCTCCGACGCCAGGCGAAGGTCTGTCAACATAATTCACCGGAGGGGGGCTCAACCAATGAGAACAGGTGAATCAGACAAAGACATTGCCTTGAAATACGACGCTGTCAACGGAAGGATGGAACGATTGGTGTACATACAGTAACCGTTGTAGCTGGGTTCTTCGCTGCCATTTAGCCTGCCTTCTCTTCTACACATCAACCGGCGACAAACTGCTGGGGATATGAAAACTTATTTTTTCGGCTTGCTAAGGCTGCATCGAATGTTCGTAGAGATGTTGGCTGAAAATGCAACCCTGTCGCGAAACACCCAGTTCGTCTGTTGATTAGTAGACCTACAACCATACAAACTAACGTCTACCGTGGACTGCTTAGGGCATTTGTGTCATGAGCGCACACCACGAACTGGGGTTAGCCTGCTGTCAACCCTGACCACTGCCGATTTTCTAAACTACCACGACACGATAAAAGGCATAGGCAACGATAGGGTGTAGGACCCACAGCTAATCTGGGCTGGCCTGTGGACCGAGTCATACGCTGAATGGTGGTAGAGGGGGTTTCACGGGCGAGGTAACACACAGAACGGAGAGAAGGAAGACGCCAAACATAAAAAGTAGAAGCGATCGCAGGAACAAGGGCTTTATTCACCCGACGTTTTGGATTCTCACTTTAAACCATCATCACACACAGTTACAGAATAACACTGACCGACCGACGCATGGCAAGAGTCCAAGAATCGGCCTCGTCCTGTTTCTATAATCTCCTACCCGTTTCAGTCGCTGTCTCCGTTGATGGGTTCAAGCGAGAATCCGAAACGTCGGTTGAATAAAGCCCTTCTTCCAGCGATGGCTTCTACTTCTTATCAACTCGTTCGTGAAACTCTCATTTACGCTTATATCGGCAAATTGTTTGGGCGCGGCCAGACCCGATCGGTCCGACGATGTTAAGCATTTGTCCTTCGAGATGCCTTTATTTAAGCGCAAATCCGGTTTCATTACACCGGCCATAGATCAATTTCAGTCGAATTTCTTGTCGGACGCTGTTAGTTGACAAAGGAAGTGAGCGCGATAACTGTAAAACAAGCAAGAAGCAATTTCCAAAAGATGGGGGACTTTGAATAAAGCGCCGCTGGACAGTTTAAATTTAGTCAGGAAGGGAAGGAAACTTCAAACAATAGGAACGGTAAATAATAGGCAATGTTTACAGACACATCGAGGTTAAGGGTCTATTTTTGCAGGTGCCGTTAACTTGTGGGTCATATCCCCACGCGCAATTTATTTTGCCATGGTGTAAACCTTCTGTGGAATATTCGTCGAATTTGCCTGTAGTTCTCCTCTCTAATAGCATTCGGATGCCCAGACGTGACCTCCATTTCTTTCACAACCATCATGTCTGCATTAACGTGTGCACGCGCGGATGGTATAACTGAAGATTTGAATGGGTACTGTTTGATGCCGGACATACTAGAATTCCACAGGAGCTGCAGGAGGAACGTGCGAAATTATCTAGTTAAATTGATTGTCGCGTCAATCTACTGCATACAAAAATGTATTGTGCAATTGCAAAGTAAAAACTAAAGCAGTTCACGAGACGGGGAAGTTGACAAATTTACCATTCGCACTACAGACTCCCCAATTCCTTTCTGGACGAAAATTGGCTACGCAGGCAATCCAATTTGGTGGTCACTGGCCAATATACCAGTGAAAACAGTCGGAAACTAACAAGGAGATCACAAAAAAAATTTTAAAATGGCTGCAACTACCCCTTGTGATTTCTCTATACCGCTTAATGACATCTTATCAGATATACAACTTGCGAAAGAAGAGGGAAAGGAGTGGCTGCCAAAGTAGTCAGTGTACTCTGGACGACGGCAGTCCGACGGTTAATTCCGACGACGTCCACCGTGTGCTACGCACCAAGCTGTAACAGGCACGGTGACTTGCGCGTGAATTACTTTATAGTTGTTATTGACTTGCACAGCATTTACGGCACTCCCCCCCCTCACCTAGCCCGGTGTCAAGACAGAGTCGAGACGACCGAAGGCAGGAGAGGATGAGGGTGGCTGACACGGCCGGAACCGCCACCACACCCCCTGGTCCACAACATACACTTGACCGGGAACTTTTCACCAACAACAAGTACAACATCCCAACAGGGGTCAGAAGTACGAGGGTGATGACTGGTCGGCCATGTCCACAGCCTGTATTCCCAGCGGGAGCGCAAGTGCATCTGCCGGGATGGAACCAGGTGTCAGGGGACAGCCAACGTATACCAGGATGCGAGGGCCATGGTTTGGCGGTACTGGCATAGCACATGCTTTCGGACCTTATCACCGCACTTAAGGCACAATAATAATCACGGTCCGTTTGGAAGAGGAGGAGGAGGAGGAGGATGAGGAGGAGGAGGAAGCGAGGACGGAAAAGTCGCCAGTAGAAGTCAAAAAAGAGAAGGACAATAACATTTAGCCCACATCATGCGCTTCTGTGCGATTGCTGGTTGGGCTTCAGAGAGAGCCCGTAAGGCACAACGGTATGACTGAGGTCCGTAAGAACGATCGGTGAGCGTCCCTCTACCATTGTATATTACCAACCGAAACCAACAGGACAACGAGCTCCTGGCTCAGTGGTTAGAGGCGTTGGACTTCCAACTCACAGGTCGCGAGTTCTAGCGGCAGGTGTTCCACACCTCGGGGTTGGGTATGACTCGCTGACGACGGCAATAAGCCGGACATGGTCGTGTCTTTGTAAGTACTAATACTCTGTCGAGTTGTTGTAATTTCACACTGATCCAAACCTGCTGTACACGGGCCCGCACTCAAATGACCGGAAATCGTCTTTGCGTGTTATTTTCGTCTGTGAATTTTAAAAAGCATATAAGATCCAACATGGCACCTTAAGTAGGTTCAAGTTTCAAAATACTCTGCCTGTTTACAGGCCTTTGCTGTATAATATAAAACAAATTTTTATTTTTATTTACCACTGTTCACAGTTGAATCACAAAAAGTAAGAACTGATTGAATCCTGAATAGCATAGCACATGCCTAATTGTCGATGTCAGTGTACAGCTCAGGCAACGTGCAAGCCCGAGTCCTGCGTACGTGATCGGAAACAAGCCGTCCAAACCTTCAAAGGGAATCATTATTCCAAGTTCACAGTCGTCGAAACAGGTACGCGTAGGTCAGGAACTCATTAAGCAGGGGATTCATCGATATCTGAACTCCTGATAAGAACACATTTGAACCGTATTCTAATCTGACGACGGATGCCTGTACGAGGTCAGAAGCTCGAAAGAAACTACCAGATGCTTCTGGAGCCCCATTCTGGTCCTTATCCCATATTCCCATATATATATATATATATATATATATATATATATATATATATATATATATGAATAACTGAAGTGGTATGCATTCCGAGGTGATATGGTGAAAGAAGAAAGTCCGTCGGAAATAGAGTTTTACTCGTAAATTTTCGAGCTGGTTGCACCAACCCGTCGTCAGACAAAGTGAAAAGTGGGAGGTGGCATTGTCACACTGCTGGTTGAGGACGCAGACAGAGAGGTAAGCAGACGACCTTGAGAGAGGGAGGTGTGCATTGTGTTGTGATAGGTGCGGGAGGTGAGGATAGGTGTTGTGGGTCCAAGCTGTGGCTCACCGTGTTGGGGGAGGGAGGGGGAGTAGGGCAGGGTGGTAGGAATGGCGTGTCGGCGACATCATGCATGTCCGGGCACGCATTAGCTGTTGTTGTTTTTAAGGTGGGCGCCAGTCAGTCCACCGTGATCGGAGACCCTCGTAGTGAACGTCAAGGTCAACATGGCGGTTAATGCTATCTGCACCGGAGTGCCAAGCTTCGAGGAATTCCCGTGCATGTTTAGTGTTAGCCATGGCGACCACTTCGGCACCGTCCCAATTGAAACGGTGGTCACAATCAAGAGCGTGGGCAAACACGAGGGATAAGGGGTCGCGTCGGCGGATAGCTAACTTGTGTTCATTAATGCGAGTCCCAAGTTGTCGACCCGTGTGACCAATATAAACGCAACGGCAGTTAGCGCACGGGATGCGGTAAATGACGTTACTTTGTTGTTCTTTGGGTATGGGATCCTTTGCCCGACACGCCATTCCTACCACCCTGCCCTACTCCCCCTCCCTCCCCCAACACGGTGAGCCACAGCTTGGACCCACAACACCTATCCTCACCTCCCGCACCTATCACAACACAATGCACACCTCCCTCTCTCAAGGTCGTCTGCTTACCTCTCTGTCTGCGTCCTCAACCAGCAGTGTGACAATGCCACCTCCCACTTTTCACTTTGTCTGACGACGGGTTGGTGCAACCAGCTCGAAAATTTACGAGTAAAACTCTGTTTCCGACGGACTTTCTTCTTTCATATATATATATATATATATATATATATGCTTTGAACTCTGGAAACTGATTTCCTCTGAAAAGATAATGACAGGATTTCCCGACAAGTTATTTGAAAGCATACGGAAATCATATCACGTAATCTGGGTATTAATTTATGTGAACATACGTGGTGCCCTTGTTCATCCTCCCGGACGCACGTAATCCATTAAATACAACTCAAACCATGATATGGACTGGCCCAATCAATTACGGAACATGCATCCGGGTGTTCAAGAAAGTCTATTGTAGAACACAAAACAGTACCCTACCGAATTGTTACGTGCTCGCTTCAGCATATTTTAATGGTCAATATCACCACCAAGACAAAGGCAGAATTAACGACTAGCGTTTTAATTCGCTCTGGTTAACCGAACATCTCCGGATGTGTCCGCAGTATTTTCTGTCTATACGACATTAAACATGCTCCAAAGATTATTTAATATATTCTGGAATGATTACGGTGTCTTCAAGTCAGCAAAGTCGCAAAAAAAACATCCTATCTAATTGCTACGCATATTGGCTGCTCAGATGCTGTCTTCGGTCACTAGAAAAATACTTTGAGAGGTATGGCATGCTAAATCTGTTCAAAAATCCGTAGCACCATTGCTCTGTTCCCGCTACTCAGAAAGAGGGACAGATGAACTCAATACCACTATGCTGGCCCTCGTAAGTATACCTTTGACTCATGTCAAATCTGCCAGGGCTTTCGGATATGTAAAATTACAAGGCGGCTATGCCACGTTAGGAATGATCGTTGCTTAAAAACCAACGTTACGGTTCTCGGCGCAAACACGCACCGCATTCTGACGCACGCACTCGTTGTGTGCATAAATTGACCTGGTAAATTTAGCATTAGATATTTCTCAGAGATAATGTAGTACTGCGCCTAGCATCATCAGACAGATTTGCTTTAAGTTCTAGCCATTGCAACGAACCATAAATAATTTGTCCGCACAAGCGAAGATGCGAGTTCCAGGCACTAGTTCACAAGAAGTAGAAGCGATCGCTAGAACAAGGGCTTAATTCGTCTGACGTTTCGGATTCTCACTTGAATCCAGCATCAGAGACAGTGGCAGGAAAGGGTGACTCGTGCACAGAAAGTTGCAGTACTTATAGGATGCAGTCGTTATGCTACCGCATACTTATAGTAATTAGCCGCTCTCCCGTTCATTAAGAATTGTTGCCAGCTGGTGCGCTAATTGCCTGATGGCCGGCATGCAAGTTGTTAATTACCGAAATGTCATCACCCGTGTTAGATGCTGGCGTGATGATGGCTCAGTCATCTGGCTCACCGGCTTGCGCGTTCCCTGAGTGGTCAATTACCGTGGCCAGCCTATGCCTCAGCACGCAGTATGGAGTAAGGATGTCGTTGCACTTGTTGATTGACTGAGGTCCCGTGAACCATAACTCAAGCCACTCGCGGCTCACGCGATTATCACCTCTCGTGGGAATTTAGACTTCATCGAACTTGTATGCGGAGCTGGGTCTGGTCGAATGGGCCACGACCTGAGAGTTGAGTCATTTCTCCAAACCGCTGCCGCATGTTCGGCAATTCACGTCCGGAGCAGTCTCCCAGTTTCTCCGACGTAGTTCCTCTGCCCACAACTGCACCAGATCCGGTAAAGGACTCCAGATGCTTCTTGCCATAACAGCGGGTTTTCGGTCTCATCAACTGATGCCTTATGGTGGCCTCCGGTCTGTGTGCAACTCCAACCCCAAGTGGCACGAGGAGGCGACTAGCGGCTTCGGAGACGTTCTTGATGTACAGGGTCGGACGCCAAAATTTGGGGTCGGCACGATTTTGTCGGTCATCTCGTTTTCGCATGCACCGATTGACGAAGTTGCCCGGGTAACCATTTTCTCCGAAAATCCGTCGAAGATATGGAACTTCGAAAACTTTGTCTTCCAGTTCACTACATGCGCCTCAACACGCCGATATAGCTTTCTTACGAGACTGCGTTTGTGGCTGATTGGTTGGTTGCCATTGAAATTCAGTATTTGCGTCGTGTTCCTCGCATTTCCTGAACGCTTTGGTCTTTAGGCCACCACAATCTTTGCGACAGACGAGTACATCAAGGAATGCCAGCTGGTAATTTCATTTCTCCTCCATCGTAAATGGTATGTCCGGGAAAACGCTGTTGGGACGTTCTTTGAACGTTAGCACCTGATCCCCTTTGATGACGACAAAGGTATCGTCTACGTACCGAGTTCAGAATTTCGGTCTGCGGTGTTGGAAAACCATCGACTCTAATCTCTGTAGGACCGCCTAAGTGATAAATCCGAAATCGGCGAGCGCATTGGTGTTCCCTTCACTTGCTCGTAGATTGTTCCGTCAAACGTTAAGTACGTTCTGAGACAGAACTTAAGGAGCTGATGGATTTGGGCATGTCCGAGACGATTTTCCGAGCTTCACAGGAGTAGCTCGATGGTTTGGATTGCCAGATCCTGGGAAGAGAAGTAAAGAGGGATGTGCCATCAAAAGATGTCATGACCTCATTTGGCAAGAGACTTGTTCTTTTTAACTTCTCCAGGAATTGCGTTGACGAATAGGCGGCGGTGTCCGGATCAGCGGTCAGAAATTGGAGGCGCCGAAGCAGCCATTATGCCAATCGATACGTTGTAGTGCCTTTGGGGCGGAGAGGAGTGCCTCAGCACTGCTCGCGCTGTCACGCCAGCATCCAACACGGGTGATGACGTTTCGGTAATTAAAGCCTTACATGCCAGCCATCAAGCAATTAGCACACCAGCGGGCAACAATCCTTGACGAAGGGGAGCGCGGGTAATTGCTTTAGGCATGCGGTAGAATAGCGACTGCATCCTACAAATACTGCAACTTCCTGTGCAGTAGTCATTCTTTACTGCCACTGTCTCTGATGATGGGTTCAAGTGAAAATCCGAAACGTCGGGCGAATAAAGCCCTTGTTTTAGCGATCGCTTCTTCTTCTGATCAAAACTAATTTAGAAGACGAAGATGCGATCACTGGAACAAGAAACGCATCTCTAATTTGTTTAAATAAGAGCGGACAAGGAGATAGACACAGAAGTCAGAAATTAAAGCATGAGTGGTCTTTTGTTCTTTTTAGGCCAAATACGGAATGCATCCATCCTCTCTCCAGTGGTGGCCCACAACCCCACCTCTCCAGATTTTCCACTTTGAATGCATCGGACTTGCGTGAACAGTTTGGTTCTTTTCATGGTACAATCATCTTTTTTATCTGTTACAATAAACCTTTATATCCCAACCTTTCATTGGCCTATATATTTGTTAAATATTTGTGATGGCTTACGAAAATTCCAGAAAACCCACATTTCTCGGGGACGACTTCAAAACGACGGACGACGGCGAACCTTAGATCACTGGTTCCATAGCCCAAAAAACCACATTGCGGAGAGCCATGTGTGCCCGAGTGCTACAAGTGATCCAGCCAAGTACAGTGGCGTCGCCGGCAGCCATCACGGTCATGTCTGGCATCCTTGTTCAGGGCCCCAATGCTTCACCTTCGCAGCCAGCGGTTCCCAACGCGTCGACCTGCAACCACTCGACCGACTCAAACTCAGACGCACGTGCGTCCGCAAAGTCGCAGCTGCCCATGCGCCGCTGGAACACACCACTCCCTCCATCCCCCCTCCACTGCGAACAAAACATAAGCGACTTGAACACGATCCCCCAACAAATTAACACACACCAATTGGACACCACTTCAGATCGCCCCACAAACCTACAAAAGCAGATGCCAAACTACCGCACGATCTCTCAGGCATGAATGGACGCAGTCAACACCAGCCCTGGCTTCGCCAGCGGTCATTGCTGCCTGAGCGGACACCTCTGGGTTCTGTATACCTTAACCCCCTCATTCTGATGACTCCCATCATTTCCTACGACGCGAGATTCAGCTTGCTGATTGTAACGTTCCGAGCACATGCACCCTGTTTAGACGACGCAATGGTAAAGTACGTGAGCACTTGTCAATAGAATACAGCAGTAGAGCACTTTCTAAACAGGTGCCTTATTATGGACGGTTTTTTAACTACTCGAAACCATATTCGCCGTTGGCGTTTGTTGTGGATGATTAATTTTCTCGGCGATGGGGTTTCACTTTCGGGTGAGTCTACAAATATGACCCAAACGACCGTCAACATTAGAAAGAATGTGCAAGTACTCAGTACTTGGGTAAATGCTTCCGAAATAATCTTATTTTTATGTTTTGATAAACATATGGCAGCGAATTTACTTTTATGAGCATACCATTTAAAACACTGTAAATCGTGAAGCATGTACCGATATTTCAAGGACGATCTGAAACTCAACCTATTTTGTTTCGCTCCAAAAAAGAGCAAATAACTTTGGTTACAGAAACGTTCTCTTGATATATACAAAACGGCACTTTTACGATCAAACCGGCGAATCCTATTCAAATGTAGTACTCACTGATCGGCTATTTTGTATATGATTAAATTGATGTCTTTGTTTCTGCTACATCGCTATCAGAGAAATCAAGCGGCAAGATCTTGAAACACATTGGCCGAACATTACGCAATGTGCTTCGTGCCAGGCATCATACAATAATAGCTCTTGGGGAATATTTAATAAAAACTTGTCAAGAATAACCTTTCACAAATTACAGTGCTTTTGGTCATCTACTTAGTTTTTTCTGAAGACAAGCATTTTGTGGGTTCGCAAAATGTGAGTCCACTCGTGAAATGAATTTTCATGTCTTCGATATCATTTGTTGTTTTCAAGTAAACACGATAGTACTTGTGATAATTATTTTGCGTTTTCATTTAACTGAAGTTTGTTCATTACCAGGTTTGAGTTTTGGCGGATAACTTCGGATAGGTTTCAGATTGATTAGTGTTTATTTAGCATATCATACATATCTCTTGACCTAGGTCACCAACCGCATGTTCTCCAGATTTCCTTTTACTAGCTCAGCCAAGTGGGCCCCGGACTTCTGTTCAGTCAAAAAGCCTTCAGAAAAAGTTAGTATCAAGCATTCTGTGGCTCGTGGACAGTCTTTGATCATTCCTTTTGGTAACTTCTTATAAAGCCCAATCTGCTTTATTTCGGCGATCAGTCGGCTATAAAAGAAGAATCATTTAGTTACACTTTGCTCTAAATTGGGCATTAGATATTACTCAGAGACAATGTAGTACTGCGCCTGGCATCGCTAGACATATGCACTACATTTTTGTTTTAATTTGTAGCCACTGCAACGAACTATAACCAAATTGTTTAAATAAGGTAGGATATGGAGAAAGAGACGAGAGTCAGAAACTAAAGGACGTGTGATCTCTTGTTCTTTTTAGCCCAAATACAGAACGGATCTCCCCTCTCTCCTGTGGTGGCTCCCAACTCCATCTCTCCCGATTTTCCACTTTGTGTGAACAATTTGGTTATTTTCATAGTGCAATTACCTTTTATCTGTTACAATAAACATTTAAAACTCAACCTTTCATTGGGCTATTTGTTTGTTGGAAATTTATGATGGCTAACAGCAATTCCAGCGAAACCACACTTCACGGGGACGCCTTCAAGACGGCGGACGATGGCGAACCTTTGAGCACTGGTCCCAAAGCCAAAAAACCACACTGCCGGAGAGCTCTGTATTCCCGGGTGCTAAAATTGATCCATGCAATTACAATGGCGTTGCGGGCAGCCATTACGACCATGTCTGACCCCATTGCTTAACCTTCGCAGCTAGCGGTTCCTGACGCGTCGACCTGCAATCACTCGACCGACTCCAACTCGGACGCACGGCGTACGCAAAGTCGCAACTGCCCATGCGCCGCTTGAACACACCACTCCGCCTATCGACCCCCCTGCGAACACAACATAAGCGACTTGAACACGACCCCTCAATAAATCAACGCACACCAATTGGACACCATTGCAGATTGTCCCACAAACCTACAAAAGCAGATGCCTCACTATCTCACGATCTCTCAAGCATGAATGGACGCAGTCAACACCAGCCCTGGATTCGTCAGCGGTCATTACTGCGTGAGGGGACAACTCTGTGTTCTGTACACCTTAAACCCCTCATTCTGATGACTGCCGTCATTTCCTACGACGCTGGCTTCAGCCTGATGATTGTAACGCTCCGAGCATATGCACCCTGTTTAGACGCCTCAATGGTAAAGTACCTGAGCACTTGTCAATAGAATACAGCACTAGAGCACTTTCTAAACAGGTGCCTTAAAATACAGAGTTCTTTAACTGCCAGAAACCATATTTGTCGTTGACGTTTGTTGTGGCTGATCAATGTTCTCGGCGATGAGATTTCACTTTTGGGTGAGTCTACAAATATTACCCAAACGACCGTCAGCATTAGAAAGAATGTGCAAGTACTCATTACTTGGGTAAATGCTTCCAAAAAATTCTTATTTTAAATGTTTTGATAAACACATGGCAGTGAATCTACTTTTAATGGGCAATTTATTGAAAACACTGAAAATCGCGAAGCATTTACCGATATTTGAAGGACGATCTGAAACTCAACCTATTCCCTCGTCCGAAAAAAAACAGTAAGTAAATTTGGCTGAGGAAACGTTCTCTTGATATATGCAAAACGGCACCTTTACGATGAAGCCTGCGAATTCTATTCAAATGTAGTATTTACTGACCTGTTAGTTAGTATATAAACAAATTGACGCTTTTATGTCTGCAACACCGCTATTAGAGAAATCACGCGGCAAGATCTTGAAACACATGGTCGGACATTAAGCAACGCGCTTCGTGCCAGACAGCATATAATGATAGTTATTTGAGACCATTTAGTAAAAGCTTGTAAAGAATAACCTTCTACATATTACAATATTTTTGCCTATCGACTTAGTTTTTGTTCAGACATTATTTGTTTTATTCCAGTTAACAAGAAAGTACTTGTGATACTTATTTTGCGCTTTCATTTAACTGCACTTTGTTCATTGTCAGTTTCGTGTTTTGGTGGATAACTTCGGATAGCTTTCAGACTGATAAGTGGATTTTTTAGACATATCTCAAGACTTAGGTCACCAACTGCATGTACTCCAGATTTCCTTTAACTAGCCCAACCATGTAGGCCCCGAACTTTTGCTCAGTTAAAACGTCTTTAGAAAAAGTTAAAGTTACAAGCATCCTCTGTCTCGTGGACAGTCTTTGAAAATTCCTTTTGACGACTTCTTACAATACCTAATCTGCTTTATTTCGGCGATCAGTTGGCTATAAAATAAGAATCAATTAGTTGCACTTCGCTCTAAAATGTCTCGTTTTCTAACTGAGATGACTGGCTTCCTTAGTATGTGGCCACATACAGTCTCCTGTGCAGACATGCCCAGTGTGTAGTCTGGTGTTAGAATTTTGATTCCACTAAACTTCAGAAAGACTGGCCTCTGAGGTATCGCAGGCCCGGTGCCAGGACAATTAGGTTTGCTGTACTGAGACAAAAACAACCTCTGCCGTTTCATAATTTCAATTATTAGAACAGCCGCCAACAAAAGGATCGGAATGGCTTAATGAAATGCATTTTAACAGAACAAATAGTCGTCAGAAGAAGCGCGCCAGGTGTCTGAAATTTCGAACACCTCCATTTCGCGAGAATCTTTGTTAGAGATGCTCCCAAAAAGTAAAAGTCAATTTTTCAAAATCTTCAGACCTTGATAATAATGACCCCGCCGATTCCCTCCTCCTTTCAGTATGTGGCCGACGACGGTAGCTCGACTAATATGACAACAGTGTAGCTGTCTGGCCGACGTGGCCAAGTTTCGCGCTTGTTGAGTGTGGTTGGGTCGGTGGGGTAGGGGGTAAACCCGAAGAATTGGCTACGTCACGTTGGCTGAAACGCATGTTTGGTCAACCTCTACTAGCTTTTTGCATTTTAATGTCATCGCAAACATGTACTTTTCATGTTTCCGGTGATGCGCTGTTCTCAAGCCTCTTTGGCATGCCAGTTCATCGAAATGACTTCGCAAGACAGCGGCTGCGTGCGTAAGGGCATCTGTCTTCAAACTGCCCCAGACACTTCCAATGCTATCAGCGAACCCTGTTTGATAAAACACGCGATCACCCCGTCCATTCACTGCATCTATCGATGCAAATAAACCAAGCGAGGCAAGTTAAGTGTTCATATGCTCTGTAGCGACAAAACAGTGCAAATGCCATGCTCGGAGTACCTCAAGTTAGGCGAAACCTACGGCATATCCAAATGTATTAGGCGTCGTATACGTGTCCTCGGTAAAATCGATTAAGCGCAGGAAATAGTCTGTACGACTGTTTGCCACGTAACACGTAGGGATTTCCCACAAACCCTGATCTATTGCCTTTTTGATTTGTTAATAAACTCAGACGCGCTGAACTTACTGCCTTCGTTTATACTAAAGTTACAGCAAAAGACAGAGGGAACTCAGCAAATCTTACAAAGGTCAAAAGGTTGTCGGTTTGCACAGGTAAATTTCCAATTCCCAAATGATTAGACCTTTGAGACATACGAACAAACCGGCAACAGCATCAATAATCGCCGCAGTAAACGCTGACCGTTAACTGGGCATGTTCTCTACATGGCGCTAAAATCCGCATGATTCCAACAAACATTGGCGTTTCGAGACTGGGAATGAGAACGCCGACGACTCGATGATCTGCAGGAGGTGAGGCGTGTGAGGTGGAGTTTCAACGAGCCCATCTAGTTTGCCTGGGCCGTCATCTGCCTCGTTATTTGGTCGTTGGCCGCCGGCAGCCGAGAGTGGCTGGAACAGCTGCACTTCTACCACCTAGGTTAGTTCTACAATGGAGAGATTCGCAGAACCAGACATCGAGATTGATTAGACATCTGTTGGCAGACACTCATCCCCTTGACGAGGTACTTGTCTATCTGCATGTCTCCAAAGAGAGAGCATATGTGACGGCGAAGCTCTGAGGGCTTCCGGTTTCCCGGCGATTCCACTTTTTCTCAACGAATTATAACACCGTTGGTCAGACAGGAAGGATCCCCGAATTCAGACTGGAATATGGAGCCTCTGCTGGGAGATTTAGTAGGAGGCATTGAACTCGGGTGATAATACTAGCTGGGAGAACATTCATCAGTTCGTGGTACTTCATCAGCTGCTTGGTAAGATTCGCGGGGCGAATGAAATAAAGTTTAGGCGAATGTTGTCAGGGTATCGTAAGTTTTGAGTCACACTTTGAAGTATTTAACTCAAATTCCTTATTTTTTGGCATTTCATTGATATTTTGGCAGATTTTGAATAATTCATATTGACCCAACTGTGAAAAACTCGGCGCCTCGGTGGGATTCGAACCCACGCAGTAAGGAGGAAGGCTTTAGTACAGCCAACGCTCTAACCACCTGAGCTACAAGGCCCCGCCGGACGACGCGAGTTTTATCACACTTGGGTCAAGTTACCCCCCCAACCTACTGCAACGTCTGGGATCCACCAAATCTGATACAGTAAGTTGACTGCCCAGCAGGATTTCCAAAATATCAATGAATTACGTGAGCCTAGTAGTCATCTGGTGGATTGTAGGTGAATTACTTAGGAAATCCTGCTTGGGCAGTCACCTTACTGTATCAGATTTGGTGGATTCCAGACGTTGCGGTGGGTTGGGCGGGTAACTTGACCCTTGTGCAGAGGCGTTTCCCCGTTTCACCAACATACCGTGCATTGCAATTTTGGCACGGTATGCTGTAGACCACTGCTGATTGTTCCGTTGCCGGTAGCGGGTCTTTGGGTCTCATTATCTGCTGTCTGATGGTGGATTCCGGTTTATGGGCCACCTCAATCCCAAAAGGGTTTAGGATTCTAGCTGTCGCCTCGGAAACATTCTTCACGTAGGGGATCGCCAGCCAAAACTTCGGCTTCTCACCGTCTGATCGCTGACGGGTAGTCTTTCGTCGGCACTCACGTATGAAGGATCGTGGGTAACCATTGGCTGTGAATAAAGCATGTAGGTATTTTGTCTCCTCCTTTTTCCCGTCGTCGTCGCTACATTGTGTTTGAACTCGTTGGAAGAGAGTTCTCACACAACTTCGCTTGTGACCAATAGGATGGTTACTTCGGAATTGGAGGATGCGTCTGGTATTCGTCGCCTTACGGTACACCGTAGTTCTTATGCTCCCACGAACCGTCCTTGCAACATTCACGTCGAGGGAGGGCAATTGGCTGTTGTTCTCCCCTTCCATTGTAAATTGGATGTCGGGGAATGTTGAGTTCAGTAGGACCTTGAAGTTCTGAACGTCGTTCATCTTGATTACGACAAATGTGTCGTCGACATATCTGGCCCAGAATTTTGGGGAGTACGAACGGAAGACTAGTCGTTCTAGCCTCTGCAAAACGGCCTCAGCAATCAACCCAGACAGGGGGGATCCCATCGGTGTTCCCTTCATCTGCTCGTAAACCCGGTCGCCAAAAGTGAAGAAAGTCCTGAGGCACAATTCCAAGAGTTCAGTAATGTGCGTTCGCTTAAGTTGTTGGTCAACGTCATCATACTTTTCCTGAAGAAGTTCGTCAATTGTGCTGATGGCGAGGCCGGTTGGAATGGACGTGAATAATGCGACCACGTCAAACGATACCATCATCTCATCTGGTTCTATTTCTAGGTTTCTGATGCTTTTCAGGAATTCTTCAGCCGACTTCACCGTCCATTCCGAGCCCTCGGTGAGGAAACGAAACTGTTAGTAAAGCCATTTTGAGAGTCCAAAGGTCAGAGTGCCGCGTAGGGAGACTATGGGGCGTAGCGGGACTCCTGTCTTATGAACTTTTGGCAGGCCGTTGAAACGCGCCATGGATGCATCTGTGGCTTTTGCCGCCAATGCCTCATTTCTATATATATATAAGTAGATCAGGTGATACTAACAAAAATAAGGGAGACCGGAATGGCCATTTCTGGTTTATTAACGGTCATCACAATTCATACCCAACCCCAAATGTGGATCACTTGAGATTCGAACACGGCACCTTTGGGTCGGTTACGATCGGGATATCCAAAGCTAAAGGGACGCTCACCGAACATTCTTACGGAATTCATTCCTTTCGGACTCTCTGGAGCCCAACCAGCAGCTGCACATCGAAACATCCCATGGACAGAATATTACTACCCATAAAGACAAGGGAGACTGGGATGGCCATTTCTGGCCTATTAGCCTGCGCCAGCCAGTCATACCCATGTCATGTCTGCATCCTTACCTAGTACTTTGAACATTCAGTAAACTATATTATTTTCTAATTAAGTTACAATTGGCTTGACTTGTTTGGATGAATTTTTTGTCCTCTTGAGCGGCATTCATTTGGTTTAAATTTTCATTATCAGCAGTATAGGAATACTTCATTTAGATGACTCACGCCTTTCGGGTTCTGTTTACCGCTTTGTGAGGAAAGCCCCGACCAAACGATTTTAATTAATTCTGACGTTCCATAATAGTTATCGATGTGACGGCACACAAATTATGCAGTGGGGGGGATTTGTAGACTTTATGTCTGACCTTTGATGCTCCCATTGCCTACTCCCACGCAACATTTACGTGTAAAATTATTTAAAGTACGTTTTTACATCGGTTACGCCAACTTTATCATTTTTCTGACTAACTTACAATGCGGCTTGTTTTGCCCGAATGAAATTTTTGACTTCTTGAATAGAATTCATTTGGCTTAAATCTTCACTTTACTTCTGGAAAGCACTGTAGAAGGTCTTCATTTGAGGGGCTTACGCTCTCCGGGTTTTATTTGTTTTTTTCGCATGGAAACCTCCAATCCAACTATATTAAGTAACGTTCTGCCATTTGCGATGTGACCACACATAAGTTATGCGACGAATTTTTTGTTGACTGTCTGTCTGGCCTTTGTTGCTCATGGAATCCGTTCTCACACCACAATCATGTAATTATGATCAGCCGAGTTTAATTTAAACTGCTGTGTTAGCGAATTCTAATTCTTCTTATGTGGACCGCCAAATTTGATAAGTCAGTGGGGCAAACCTCTTGAATGGCATTCAGTTGGTTTAAATTTTTACCTAATTTCATTGAAAGCACTATAGGAACACTTCATTTGAATGGGTCAAGTCTTCCGAGTTCTATTTGTTTGGTTAGTATGGAAAACTCCCACGCAACTATATCAATTAATTCAGCCATTGCATTACGACGCGACCGCACAAAACTATGCGGCGGATCCTTTGTGAACTTTCTGTCTGGCATTTCTCGCTCGCAGAATCTACTCCCACGCCACATTCACGTGCAGAATTATGTTGAAATACGTATATATATCAGTCACATCTAACTGGATCAGCCGAGGAAAATTTCGACTGTTTCGTTAGCTAATTCTAATTGACATTGAGTACTTCTTTAAAACGGTTAGCTCGGTAGGGGAAATGTAAAGTTATATGGATTAAAACCGTGAGTCTGCAATACACACAAAGATGCCAATGAGCGAAGATCTGGCATCAATGCCTCAAATGGGAAATTAAGTTGTGGAGGCTTGGTTAAATCTCAGAATGTTTTAATGTGCAGGTATTCGTTTGACTGCAGTCTGGGAATTCGATTTGAAGCTCTGGGTAAAATAACTGAAGAGCTCGCATTAATGTGTGTTTGCATCACGTCGGGCGGAATACTGTGTCCAGCCGCGTGAAAGAGGCCTTAATGTGCTGCACTTTAGAATGAACAATACTGAAAACACCTAGTGTACTCCACTGCGACCAAGAATGCAAGTTACTGGATTTGTATCAATTGAGGACAAGTTCGACTGTTGTGCTGGCCAATGCTAGTTCCTCATTTTGCCCTCTCCCAGATTAATTAAGTCAGCAGCGAAAATCTAAAGTTATGTGGATTCAGACCGAGATGTTGCAGCACACCTAAAGCTGCACATGAGTAAAACGTTGACATCAAAACTACAAATGTAAAACGTTGCTTTTGTTAGACCTCAGTGTGTTTTAATATACAAATATCCGTTAACCCGGAGTTTGGGACGATTCCACTTACAACAGTTACTAAATTAAATAAAGAGGTCACGTTAGAAAATGGTAAGGAAAGCAATGTGCAGATGTCCGTCTGACTGCAGTCTGAGGCGATTCCAATCACAAGAAGAGGGGCTAAATTAACTGAAGAGGTAACGGAATTTCCATCGGCATTATCTCAGACAGCGTGCATTCTCCACTCCCGTGAAAGACAACCTAAATTGCTGCACTCCGGCAATGATGATGATGATGATAATAATAATAATAAGGAAAACACTTACAGTCCTTTACTGGGACCGGGACTACAACTTTTTCGATTTCTGTAGTTCAAGGAGCAGGTTTTGGTGACGACAGTAAGTTACGCTCGCAAATCCCTCCACATGGTCTTGCAAACTGTTTAGACTTATACATGAAAAGCGTCGCCTTGCTCAAGCTGACGACAGCAGACGAACCAATATGTGGCGTTTTACAGCTTTTCCATATCATTTGTGCGACTTATTCCGCCGCACTTATTACTACAGCTTGTTTATCAGCAAACTGTAAAGTGAAGAATCGAATCACAAACTTTTATTGTTTATTCCCTCTAAAGACAACATTAGTATGACCAAGTTATCGTAAATAAGCAGTAATTAAAAAGTTTGCAGTTCATATTGAGAAGGCTACACGTTAAGATATTTGAATGCATGACCACACAAAAAGATACCCTTTTATTTATGAAACAGGAAAACCCGGCGATGTCATGTCCCCCCATAATAACATCTGAAAGTCCATACGACGTTCATTTTGCAAATACAGTCAGTGATCTCTCTCATTAAATTTCGGCCAGAAATCTAACTTTGTTTTTATCAGAAAGGATCGCATAAACGAGACTGCTATAGTAATTTTAAACTTCATAATCCTGAAACATTCATCCCGCCATGATGCCGAATTTGGAATACGTTTCTGTCCGTTTACTCGCTAAATTCCAAGTCAGTAAAAAATAATTATTTATGCATTATGAATTTTTCTCACGATTGTTTCTTATCCTGCAAAATATTTACACCTATTTGGCCGAAAAAAGTATTATCTTCCATGTATGGACGAATGTGCTTTTTAATGGCGGCAGGGACGAAGTTTGTCTAAAGAACAGTCTCTTGGTATGAGTGGATTAGGCAGCACGATAGTAAATATCATAATCCCTATCAGAACCAAACATGACTATCGAAAACACATTTTATCAAATAGTTCGTGCACTGCATTTGTATCCTCCCAAGTAACCATTAGCTTAACAATTAGGGATTTTTACTAACACCGCATGAAGTTTTTCGCTGACAAAATAAACCAACTCAAAAAGCTGAGCACATAGTGACTGTTTCGCTGACTGTAAATAGCATGCTTTCTCATCTTGCAGAATTCGAATACCGCTGGGAAATAAAATTACACGCCAGAACACCGTACAGTGGTGTCTGGGACATAACAAGACAGAATAGTACATATAAGTAAGGAGATTTCTTCGACGATAATTTTCAATGCGATGCATATAACGGAATTGAACCCGTTTAGAAAGGCTACCTCTAAATGGCCTTAACATCCCAATGAGGTTAACTGACTCTACATATGCACTAGCATTGAGTGCAGGACAAAATACTTTTGGTCATCATCTTGACTGTTCGCTGCAGAACCCGTCACCAAATATACAGCATTTTATGCTCTCTATTTCACTATATTCTTTTCAGTGAAATCATTGCGATGTTAGCCCTTAACGGCTACTGGAATTCACCACAAGTACCTGCTCGAAAGAAACTAATTCAAACGATTCAGACTATTTGTGTATTCACTTTTATAACGGTGACACAAATGTATCTTATAGTTAGCAGATTACGTCCGATGAACAGCGTGCCAATTTTGCATATGTCCTTTTGCATTTAAGTAGGAGTAATGTGTGTCACATTATCGCTTGCACGTAAGGTTATTTTGATATACGACCAGAACAGCATTCAAGCTCATGTGCTAAAAGAACTCCGTGTTTGTCCGCGTTAGGACGTATTCTTCGATTCCGTACCAGATTGGAGACTAGAGCGCAAATATTGGCGCGCAATACGTAATTCAAATCCTGAGGGTGAATGTTTGTTAGGGTTAGTAGTATTACTTTGGCTTTGCATATACCTGCAAAGCTACTTGAAATATTCAATGCACTCCTAAAGCTACTGCCCCGAAATCTGAAAAGAGATTGTAAGTAACCATTTTCTTGGATAGGGGGGCTGCAACGTAGGCAACTCAGTGTGTGCTGACACCTATGCGTTCTGTTGGTTTAGACATCGACCAATTACCTGCATTTTGGAGGCATATTTAAGTCATTCGTGCAATGTTTGCAGCACTTGAGTGCACTTCACGCATCAACAAGATGTATTACGCATTAGCTCTTTTTTATCTGAACATTTTCGCATCAGCCTTTTTCACAGGTAAATGACTCACTTTCCATGTTCCCAACACTCCGACTTTATGATTATAGCTGAAAATCGATGTCCGGCATACCTGGATGCCCTATCTCCGCTCAATGCCCAACATCTTCTGTCACACCCACCTCACACTTTCCAAACTTTCCACAGGAGGACAAATGTGAGGTGCACGCTGAAAGTAGACCTTCTACAATTCGGAGCGAATGGTGTTTGCACCGCTGCCAACGACAAGCGTCCATTTGGTCTGATAACCTGCGAATTGGATGTGGCTTCAGTAGTCGTCCTCTATCATTGTGGGGTAAGATATAGCAAATTGAACAAAACAAGTTTCATGTTCCGTCGCTGAGAGCATTTAAGGCTGTCAAATATGTAGTTTATCAAAGGTACTTTCGGACGTTTATTTGGAAGGCGAGAAGTTTCTGGCCATTTAACGCGATGAAGCATCTTGGACAATATGACCTACTAAATATCGAAACATTATTTTCCGAGCTACAGATATTTTTTTCACTTAAGACCGCCCAAATGTTTTTAAACTTTGGGCGTTTCTTTTCTTAACATAGTAGGGCTGATGATTGTAATAGGCGGTGTACGCCACTCTGTCTGTACTGTCTCAGCCGTGGGTTACTCGGTTGCTTTTTCAGAGACAAATTTTTAACATCAGGATTATATTTTTAATAATCATACTTCAGAACATTACTGGCATATATAGCTTAGAAAAGACCTTACAAGAATTAACATAATGGAATGTCAATATTATATGGAAGCGGCTTGTTTTGCTTTCGGTTAGGCAAATACATTCTCATTGCATACATCGATTGCTCAAACTGCATTTTGTATTACGTAGCTGACTGACGATGTCGGCCGGCAGAATGGCCGAAGGGCGGACGATGTGCAAGCCATCCTGCAGCTCAAATACGAAGCAAACAATACCCTCACCTTGCTCCCAAAAGTAAAATTTGGTCACAGAACGCAACCACGGACCCGAGCACAAGTTCAGTTCGAAAATATAGACGAGGAGTTTGAGCGGGACAGCGTCCTATCCTACGTTTTTTCCAAACGCCCTTCACATAGTTGTGACATAAGCGATGGTAAGTACAGCATCCGGTTTTTGAGTACACTCAAATTGTGTCCCCAAATATTTGTCAATTATGACTGTTAAATATCGTTACCTATTCTCTTTTTATACATGCTTCTCTAATTTGAATTATTTCTCGATACGCCTATTTCTCTAAATTGCTGTTCTTACGTTAAATCCCTAGTCAACCATAAAGCGACGTATAATGTTAGGTGTATGGTAAATTTCTTGACGATAATACGAGGAATTTAGACCGAAATCCGAATTATGTTACTTTTAAGCTGCCTTCGTATGACTCGGTATAGGGTTGAAATTCTCCGAGCAGACTACTTCTTTAGTGAAGTTTTTGCAAATAGGTTAACTATTTAAATTATAAGACTGCATGGTTTTTTTAAGAATGCCTGAAATAAGCGATTCCTGTTTATTTTCTTTGCCTTGACATTGAGTCAGCTATCCAGTGGTTGAGAGGTAAACGAATTCTCCAGTAGATGAACTGTTATCTCAGATAGGGAAACTAGTCAAATGTTCCACAACGTGTGCTGCACATAGACCACATTCAGAATGTTCTTCTTTTGCAAATTTCAGGTGTTAACTGTGGATTCGGCAATTGTGCGTCGTTTTTTATGCGCATGCTATAAAAACCAGTGGACGGTTACCCGGTGCACAGAAATTAAATCATTGTGTAACTTCAAATAAATAATTCATTGCTCCACTTGACTTTTTTACTATTTTCGCAAATTTGTTTTTGTGTTCGGAAAGCCTTTAAAGATGCTTTTTGCAGGATTTGTTATCAAAAACGTATGCACAGTGCTTTCTTTTGTGTGAAAGATTTGTTTTTTGCGTCACAAGCGATGCAGTATTACCTTCTTGATCGTCACGGAGGTTCGTTATTTATTAAACTTTCACAGGCGGGCGATGCAAATGTTCTGTTTCTCCTCACCAAATCTACATAAGTGGTAGAAAGTAAATTATAGAAAAATATCATGCGCCATTTCTTATCCTCTTTGAATCCGCGAACCTGAAATTGGGCATCAGCTACTTTTACATCAGTTTAATTAGGTTACATTTTATGATTAACGAACTGGGGTCTAAAAGTGTGCGAGGTCTCGCGTTTACTTTTCCGAGGTCAAATATAGAGGGCAGACACAAACAATGTGCGTTTTGAAGACGAAGATGTTAGGACTGGAACAAGAAATTTATTGGCTGACTTTTCGGATTCTCACTCGAATCCATCATCAGAGACATTCGCAGATCTGCGAATGTGAGTCTTGTCACTAGCAAACTTATGGACAGCTTCTAGTGCGTTAACGGTAGCTGAGGATAATAAGCCTCGTCTGTTGGCGTCCCGTCGATGTTGTGTATGCTTGTGTAGACCGCCTTTCTAGTTTGACTGCAGTACATTGCAACGCAGGTGTCACACGGGACCTTGTAAACGACCTCTTTCTTATCTAAATGGCTTATCCTATCCCTGGTGTGTACGAGCTGGTTGCGTAATGTGGCTGTGGGTTTTTGCGCCACTTGTAATTGATGTTTCCTCAGGTGCGTTCAACGAGTTTTGACACTGTTTTAGTCAACGGAGGCATTCTCGATGTTTCCTGTTCGGACGCTTGCTCGGGGCAGACTAGTTTTTTCTTTTAATTCCTGTTGTCTCATGCACCGCCGTACAAAGTCTCTAGAGTACCAATTTTGGGAGAAGAGTCTGAACAAATAAATAAGTTCTATCTTGTAATTATTGCCGTTTGGGTAGCGTGTTTTTGCTCGATCTCGTAGGCTTGTAACAGTGCTGCGTTTGTGAGTAAAATGGCTAATGTTATTGTAATGCACAACAACGTCCGTATGCGTTTCTGTGCGGTAAACTGATGCGTGAAATGTCCCGTCGGTTATTCGCTGTACGAGGACGTCAAGGAAATGGAGTTTGCTGTCAACCTCTGTTTCGAGTCTAAATCAGATTCCTGCTAGTTTTCAGTTAATAACACTGTGGAGCAGTTCCGTGTGACACCTTTTGACGACAATATAATTGTCATTCATATTATGTACCCAAAATTAGTGATTAACTGAAGGAAGTGCCGTGGTTTCCAAATTTTGCGCCGTGATTTCAGGAAGAGAACCGAAGATAGGTTATCCTATGGGGGCTCCTTTCATCCGTTTGTAGTATTCATGTTCAAATGAGAAGTTCTTTCCCAGAAAAAGGTCCAAAAGTTCAAGTAAAGCGGGTAAAAAGGCGTCCGTGTCGTAAGACTTGAGGTGTACTTCAGTGTATATATACGACTGGCCTTCAAAACAACAAATGCAGTCACATCAAGTTCCACGGACGGTAAGTGAATTACTCGAGAGGGGGGTCGATTAGGTAGAGGCATCTGGTCTGAAATTCTGAGGACGTACTTCGCCTTGGAGAGAACCATGTACGAACAAACTAGGGGAATGCCAATGGGATCGCCTCTTTTGGGCTTCATCGCTGAGGAAGTTCGCCAAACCTAGACTGCCTGGAATTCACAATTCCCAGACCAAAGTTTTGGAATTGATACATTGAAGATGCTTTCGTGGTCATCAAACAACGGTGAATTCGGTTTTTTCGACATCCAAGAAACTGTGTAAACGGAAGGCCACAACTTACTGCTGTTCTTGGAAGTTTTTGTCTGTCGAAAACGCAACAGGTGCATAGAAAAACGCCAAATCCTGAGCTACCATGGTAAACACACGTTATGTCACAAACGCAGCTGTGTGCAAATTCGCTACAGAATGGCAGAAACAGCCAGCAGCGAAGCGGATGATAAACTGACAGAATTTCGCTACTCTCGCCAGGGTCTTCCGATTAGCTCCATTGATGACATCTTATGTTTCTGAGTAACTTTTGGTTTACTCGTCTTACTTAATGTGCACACCAACATACATTTATTTGACGAGTGTACCACGACAGCGAAATTACAAACCCGCTTTCATACTTAAAGTTCTAGTGGTAAAGAAAGAAAAGTCCATCTTGGTACATCACAACCTGAGTACCAATAGGTTTTTCTTATCAACACACTCACCGCTTCCTAAAAGGAGACTTAAGAAAATTTTTGTAAAAAGTGTAAGAGTAAGTTTAAATTACAATGGGCACATAGAAGACCAATTCGCTAAAATATGTCTTTTGAACCTGAAAGCAAAGTCACTGTTTTACATCGTAATCCTGCAGCCGGATACAAATATGCAGTCCGGATCGGGAAAAGCGTAGTTCCTAACCATGCAAGGGGCATCCTGTAGTCGTTTTTTCACTGAAGAGGATAGTGATAAGGGCAAAGTAAATGTCCCCAAGTATCTGCGGCATGCAATGAATGCCTACTTACTTTGACGCCGTTGACATTGTGGGCCGAGGTGATGATCATACGGCAAGACAGGTACAAGAAGCCTGGATGTCTACAGACTGTTCTGTCAACCGCCACATCAATTTACCTCCCCCTTATCTGGTTTTACGGACATTCTTGACGGGGCACAGTCACGGCGCAGGACAATCGGGACCGCCAATTATCACCGCGGCCGACGAGGATGGGCGGGATTCAGGTCACGGTGATATGCGGGTCGGATGCAGCCACACAGGCGGCATTGATGGGCCAGGCATAGGACAAAGTGCGCCATAAAAGGAAAGCTGTGTGCACGACTGCTCAGTCTCTGAAGATGGGTAGAAGAAACGACTACCCGAAACGTCAGACCTCAAATACACCTCTCCCGGTGAACGCCTCCTCTTCTTTTGACCTACTGTACTTGTTTAAGTTGGTCGTATGTTATTCGTCACTCTTTAAACAGGGAGTTTGCTTTCGGACGTTACGATCCACCTTACCGTTCCTTCAGTTGGTTTTAGTTCATACGTTTGGGAAGCGATCGTTTAGCTCCCCTCCCTTTCGCGTATGCACCGATTGACGAAGTTGCGCGGGTTAGGGTCGCTGGTCTTCCAACACCACAAACCGACGTTCTGGGCCCGGTATGTGGATGATACCTTTGTCGTCATCGATCGGGATCAACTGCTGACATTCAAGGAACGTCTGAATGCGGCCTTCCCGGACATACAATTTACGATGGAGGAGGAAGAGAACAACCAGCTGGCCTTCCTGGATGTCCTCGTATGCTGCAAAGATTGTGGTAGACTAAATACCAATGCGTTCATGAAAGCGACACATACGATGCAAGTACTGAACTTAAACATCAGCCACACAATCAGCTACAAACGCAGCTGTGTAAGGACGCTCTATCGGCGTGTCGAAACGCACTGCGGTGAGCCGGAAGTCAAAATTTCCAAACTAAAATACTTCCGACAGGTCTTCAAAGCCAATGACTACCCGCGCAACTTCGTCAACCAGCGCATACGCAAAAGGACCGAAAGGCCTAGTCGCATGGACACCGAATTTCGGCGAACGCTTCCGAATGCCAAGAAAGTTTCGGAAGCTGTCGGCTGCCTTCTCGTACCACTTGCGATTGGAGATGCACACAGACTGAAGGCAACCATCAGGCGTCAGGTAATGAAACCGAAAGACCCACTGCCACGGCTTGAAACGTCTAGAGTCGTTTATCTGATCTTGTGCAGTTGCGGACAAAGCAGCTACATCGGAGAAACCGGGATACAGCTCCGAACTAGAATGGCCGAACACGCTGCAGCGGTGCGGAGAAATGACGCCAGCTCTCAAGTTGCAGCTCATTCGATGAGATCCGGCCACACATTCAAATTCGACGAGGCCGAAATTCTCGCAAGAGTTGACAACCGCGTGAGTCGGGAGCTATTTGAATCATGGTTTACTGGCCCCCAATCCATTAACAAGTGCAATGAACGTCTCCTTTCATACTCGGTGCTGATATTTCGACTAGGCGAAGTAATTACCCACGCGGTGGTGCGCAAAATAACAATTTTCCCAACTCCAGGGTCGGTGAATCAGATGGTCGAGCGGTGAATGCTACTGCTCATTTTAACATTGCCTGTTATGACTTTAGCCCAAGGAGTTGACAAGTCTAACGGTCCACTGTAGAATTTAAGATTCAATTTATCATTTAGTTAGTTGAACCTTGCTCACGCGGTGGAGAATGGATCGTATTGTTTCGTTCTATCATTGCGGGTGTCGTTACCCGCCTTAGCATTAGTTGCCATGACCTAGACTAGGAGTCGACAAGCGTTTGTAACGGTCCGGCGGTCTGTCGCAAATGTTACAATTCCATTGGCGGTCCATTCACACTCCATTATCTATCACAATTGGGATGCAGCCGTGATGTTTCCCTCGTCCGTCGCAGACCTTACCAATCGCTTAGCCGTTCCTTTATCAAGACCCTAGTTCATGGGGTTTTGAAACGTACGTATTGCTTCGTTTGTTCATCTTGAACTTTGCTCCTCATGCTAACATTACCTGTCATGGCCTAAGCTCGACAGCCGGGAAGCGGTAGTATCGGACCGGTGGTCTGCCCCAGATGTTAGGATCCACTTTACCATTCCTTCCGTCCTTTATCGTGGACATTGTTCGTCACCTTGGCATTAGCTGCCATGGCCTTAGCTCAGAGACTTTAGATGCGATCGCATCCCAGACGCCAGTATTCCCTTATGTTTGCCTTGTATGACCCTACCTCACAGACTAAGGAAACGGTCGTATTGCTTCCTTCGTTCACAGTTGATGTTGCCTCTCATTTTGGCATTAAGTGACCTCGACTGTCTCCCGCAGACGGAAAACATCATTCGCTTACGTAGAGCACTGTTAAATAATTAAAAACCCGACCAGTGTATTTTCGACTGCGACCTTCTGTAGTCCTGAATCCTTGGACATCCTTCCAAACGAGGTGATCTCTCTCAGGATCCTTGATGTGAATTTGTCATCTAGTCTTTCATTTTCCCTTCATATTGAGACCCCTTCCACTAAAGTGCGGAAACTGCTTTATTATATTCATTGTTTGCGTTCTTACCACACACCGCAGACCTTAATTTGGCGATCAATCGATACCTGAATTCTTTTTCCATTTTTTTCTTGTTTCCCCCGGCCTTTTTCCTGCATTGCTAAAAAAGGATGTTTTAGTCTTAAAACGAGTCCTTCAAATACCCTCTTCTGTTGCCGGTGTTTCTCACGTCTTTTTAGTCGGTATAATCATACAACGAAATTTTAAAATAGTCAGCCGACTTGCCGATCGAGTTTTGTATGACGCTGCCCATCCGCCGCATCCTGACCTAATGTCTGCGATGTCCTCCCGCCCCACGCGCCGTGGCTTTCGAAGTATCTCTTGCCGTACATCAGCATATCAGCTTTCTCTATTGCTATTCCTGGCATACTATCTCACGTGGAAAGAGACTGAAATACAGAAACAAAGGCTTGAATTATTCCTGTAATGGTTGTTTCTTTCTGTGTGGACCTTTTTGACTTTTGAGTAATCTGGTAACTTACATATTGTTCACGGTGATTGGAGCACTTTTTGATAAAAAAAAATTGGATCTATACTTCCAAACGGAAGCGAACTCCTTTCTCTCTCTCAGGTACGCACATTTCCAAGTTCATGGGTAAACTGCTCAATAAACCGGCTTAGAATTTGACTGAGTTCAATACACGTGGACACCCCTAAGTTGACGCAATCTTGAATGAAGCATGCCTGCTTACCAGACACTCATTGTGCCTCTGCAGTGACAGAAATGGGCAAAAAATGGATAATGCAGTTTTGACGCACCCATCGTCTGTTTTTTTAGAAATATATGCAGTATGTGCGCTGCTCAAGAGATTTACTTACGCCAATTTGTAATAAAAATGTCTGACTCCAGAAATTTCCATCAACGCAAAAAAGCACGCAGTCAGTGCTTGCGAATACATGTGGAATATTATCTGTGAGTATTGCCCTGTTAGAGACGTATGATGCTGAAAAGCACCCATGCTCAGAAATATTTGGTTTTCGAGGTACAAACAGCACTAGGATTGCAGAATTAATGATGCCGAAAGTGTTCCCTGAAAGACGCATATCGGAAGAAAAGCCAAACGTGACTGTATGTCCGTCTCCTTAAAATATTTACCTTACTATCCACAGGTGAGCTTCGAAATTACGACTGTAGAGTGCGTGACCGATCTGATGCAATTGTGCCCGAAATTCTGAAATGTGTTTTTGATTAGGAAGGATTGCTTAGGTGGAGTTGTAATTTTGCTTATCCTTCAACATACTCCCATAAAATTTCGAACGCGCAAGGATGTTGGCTTTTGAGTGCACTTCATTTCGACCTCCTATATAAGCCACACATGCTAACATGGCTACTTAAGTAGCATGTATTTTTCTCATTGGTTTAAGATGGTCTTATAAATTCAAATAGTTTTTTTAATGGACAACACGTACAAATGTATGCTTTATTTTACTTGTTTGGTAGAAAATAACATTGCTTCTACATTTTATATCCAAAGAAAACTTGTATTTGGGTTTTAAAAATGTTTCCAGTTAAGTGATTTATAAGATCGGGCGATGTCCGTACATACATAGTCGCACATCTCCGTTTACCAATGTTCCTTATGAAATGTACTCCATAGTCCACATATGAACTCAACACGGTATCATCCTAAAAGCATAGAAGAATATATGATTCTACTTGTGCGGAAAGCATGCACCTTGTAAAATGGAATCATTAAATGGTAATGCAGAAAGTGAGCTGTCCCAAAATTAATGGAGGATTGTGAAACTTTTCAGAACCTAAATATACGCTTTCTTCGGGTATGAAGTGTAAAGACAATGTTATTTTCTACCAAACAAGTAAAGGAAAGCGTACAATTGTACGTGTTATTCATATAACAATATTTGAATTTTTAAGATCATCGAAAATCAATGTGAAAAATACATGCTACTTAAGTAGCCATTTTAGCGAATGTGGCTTCTATAGGAAGTCGAAATGAAGTACATTCAAACGCCGACATCCTATCGAGTCCGAAATTTTATGGGAGTATGTTGTTTGATAAGCAACCTTAGAACCCCACCTAAGTAATCATTCCTAATCGAAAACGCTTTTTAGAATTTCGGCAAAAATTTCATCAGATAGCTTACGAACTGTACATGCCAAAGTCACCTCACCGTCCATCATGCGTTTTTTATTGCTCCCTATGGAAAATCCCAAGAGCCGGACATTTAGTTAATTCTACTTATTTATTTTTAAGTTCCCAATGTTGCCGCACGCAAAACGTGCGGGGGACCGTTTACAGACTTTTGTCGCTGGCGGATGCTAAACTAACGTCACGAACGCACGTGCAGCATTCTACTACAGAATGTATTTTTACCATCAGCGTCTAAATTGGTCCATTTTGAACGGTGAGTGCGGATTTTTATTATAGAGGCTTTTAGGACACTCTGTATGCTTGTGTCCGGAGTTTGTCTCCTGAACGCAGTGTGACGTAGCGACCATACCAAACGAAGAGACCATGTTAATTTATGTCCTAGACATGACAGGCACTATGATTCACACATGCCTATGTCGGACGTATCAGCAATACTCTGGTTGAGAGGTCTGATGCTCTATCACTCGTTTATCAACACTACCTACTAGCAGAGACAGATTATTCAGGCCTAAGGTCCAAATAGTGTTTCGTTAGATGTACGCATGGCAAGCGCATTAAACTGTGGAAATTTCCTCTTTTTGTGTCTATTGGCATGCGACTACTGAGCGTCTAGGAATCCGATTAAGGTTAACCCACTCTGTCACTTGTGCTTTTGTTCAAAGATCAATTTGGCAAGCATAGACCTGCTTTCGTTAAATTTTCCTCAGGCCTGTACACTTGTATAGATATTGAAATAATCAATCAAAAGATACGAGCAAGTAGATAATTACGCCGTAGCCTGGGTTTGCAGGGAGCGAAAATGAAACATCAAAATCCCAGTCAGCGCCAGGTAGAAACTGGGCCCCAGGAAAGGTAGGTGTGCTAACTCATGAAATGTCAACCGAAATTCTGAAATGCCTTTTCGTTTTGGAAGGAGCAATTAAGCTGTTTTGTGAAACTCACAGTCTGCAGTATAATTCTATAATAATTCAGCTACCGCAGGATGCCGACTTTCGAAAAATCTTTCTAACAGCTGTGTGCAAAAGCCATACTCTGTAAAAAATGGCTAATAATCTAGCATGCATATTTCTCATTGATTGTCGATCCAACTAAAAGTTTAATTATATTTTATGGAAAACATGCATAAAAAAGTTCATTCTTATGCTCATTCGGTAGAAAATTACGTCCACTTCCAAACTCATGCTCGAAGGAACGTTATAATTTGGGTTTCAAAAACTTTTCCAATTCCCAAATAATTTTGAAGCCGACCTGCCGTTACACTTTGATTCAGGGTGTACAACCTACAAGCCATTTATTTTCCGCGTACGGAAAACCACACATTTCTCTGCGGTAATAAATGCGTACTATATCGGGCTCATAAAATTTAGCAGTCGATTTGATCTCTTTTCTTAACTTTAAAGCCACATTAGTAAATGCAGAGACATGACGATTTATGAACGGCCATTTCACGGTATTTAAAAGTCCCACAATTAGAAAACTTTAAAACCAAATTATGTCCCTCTTTCGAGTATAAAATTAGAAGAAGACGTAATTTTCGACAGAATGAGCAAAAGAATAAATATCTCTTTGAACGTTTTCCATGAAATATAATTATAATATTCAGGGCATCGAAAATTAATGACACAAATGCATGCTACATAAGTATGCAATTTTTACAGAGTATGGTTTTGCATAAAGCCGGAAAGAAGTTTGCTGAAAAGCCGACATTCTGAGGTAACTGAATGATTATAGAATTATGTTGCAGGCTGACTACTTTTAAAACCCTACTTAATTACTCTTTTCAAAACGAAAACGCGTTTCGGAAGTTCGGTTGACATTTCATGAGTTAGCCCACATATTGTGTGTGGATGACCGGATCGTTGGCTTCGAAGCACGGCAACTGTGGCAGCGCCTGCTGACTACGGCAGAGGCGGCTGCAATTTGGATACTCAGCCCAGTCCTGTGAGCACATAATAACTTTATATAAGTGGCACAGTTGCCATGGCTCAAAGCCACCAGGCCAGCCACCAACATATAATTACACTTCCCCACCCCACCTTCTCCCTGGCGCTGACTGGAATTTTAGATGTTTCACCTTCCTCCCACCACAAACTTGAGCCACAGCACGATTTTCTGCTTGCTCTCTTTTTTGATTCATTATTTCAATAGCCATATATGCACTAGCTTGATGAAAATATAATGTAAGCAGACACATGCTGGTCAGATTGAATTTTGAGTTTTCCAATGCGACATTTCGCAACTCTAAACGGTTCTGACTTGTTGAGAGTCATAGTGACAGATATAATAAAGAAGCCAGCAATTTCGGCAGTAAGTATAACAAATAAGCCGAGGCGATAGAATTTTTTTTTTAATTGGCTCGTGTAGAAATGGTGACATTGACGTCTGTGCCATCTCCGGTGTTTCGGCGACACTACTGTTGATGTCCCGTTCAAAAAGAAATTTGGGAGATGATTCGGTTATTTAATCTGGACTTTATGCAGGTATTGAGGATAAGAGCGTTCAGAAGGGTTCGGACGGTATTCTTATCATGAACAGACTCGTTGACTTTCATCACTTTACCTAGAAAATCCCCATCTGTGTTGGGTACTTTCTAATAACAGAACACAGATGGACGCAGTGCACGACGATCCTTCCCAGTAATCTGTCGTGGAATTCGGCCGACTTCAGTTAATATCACTGATATTTTCAGTGTAATGACGTGAAGTTGACACTAGCATGTTTGTGCGTGCAACTCGCTCGCAACAAGGGTAAATCATATATAGCTGAAAAGCCTTCATCACGCGTCCGAGAGACAACACTTTCCAACAACTGTTTGTAACTTTTTGGTAAGATCGGTATCCGGTACATTATAATTAATTCCGGAAGGCGCGATATTTAGCATCTTCTAACTCACTTATTTAAAACGGAAATGTCTAAGAATTTGTGACTAAAATTTCGACTAGGTCGGACTCCGGCTAATTCACTGTTCCTAAATTACGCCGGAAAACCAGAAGTGCTTTTAAAACCACCCCCTCCCGCCACTATGCTGTTTCTGTCGCTTTCGACGGAAAATCACAAAGACAAGAAGGTTAATAAGTTCTGGTAATTTCCAGTGGTTTGTATCATGATCGCACACAAATAGGGGTGGTTTAGCTGCTCACCGCAGTGCGAAAATATTCCACTAAAAGTAGCAAATAGAATTAGCGGAGAGGTCAGATTACTTTCTGGCCGTAGTAGGCCAGACAAAATGCTGTGCCCATAATTCAAAAGTGGACGTTTAAAGTACTTCATTTTCAGACGCAGTATTAGCACAGGAAACTGCGCTTTTTAATGAGACATTAGGAAAAAATTGTTCTATGTTTGATGCTCAAATTCAGCTAGGAAGCACAAGGAATCTACGCTGAAAGTACCACAATTGTCGATTTTCTTTGCTGATCTTCAAGCATGACGAAATTGTGTTTTCCTCGACTGTCAAAGAACAGACATATTAGTATATGGAAATTGGCCATGTATGTTTTCACTAGGCTAAGCTGTGAATGTTACCGAACGAATAACCAGGGTACGCTCCTCAGCAATTATCTCGATAACGCCAGAAGATCTTTTTGTTGAATGAACCTCTTTCCGGTTATCCACAGGAACCGCAGATTGCACCCTTATAAATGTAAACCACGCACAACGATATTTTTTTTTGCAGCCATTTGTTCGGAAGCCATTTTTTCCCCAAATCATGTGCTTAAAGAAATAAACTCATGTCTACGAAACGCTTTCAATTCCCGACTATTTTCGAAACGGTCCTGCAATTGCACTTGAGCTTGAGGTTATCAAATGGCATGTTAAATACTTTCTGTGTCAGAACAATAAAATATTATGTTAGGCTGTTAGAACGATATCATGTAGAGCCCAAAACTGTTAATGAACGCTGTCCATAACGTTTACGTCTTACACAGCTTAAATTCTGCAATTCGGCCTCGATTAGAAAGAACCATTTAAGTTGATTTTGATGTGCGGTTTTCAGCTGTCTCTAGAAACTAGACCGGATGAAAGCGACCAGTGCAGTGTGAATCTTTTCTGCTGATCTTTCTTAAGATTAAAAAATATCTTGTAGTCGGTATGCACATAAATCCTCCATCGCAACTGATATAGTGGCCACTTATGTTTTGTTTATATACTACACTCAGAGAAATAGGATCCCATGATCTAAAGGAACTTTAAAATCGCGTTTAATTATGACCTTTCCCTGTCAGTGCAACTATCTTTAGTTTTTCAGTCTACAATTAGTATACTTTCCGCGTGTAAAGCATTCCACATTTCTCCGAGCCAGAAAGAGGATAATGTATAGAACACATTGTAGTTTGCAAGGGATGTGGAGATGAATGATTATTTCATGAGCAATATTAATAAACCTACGGATAGGATGCTGTGTAAGTAAATGCTTCACGGCCTATTGAATCTCATAATCACAGTTTTTTGAAAAAGAGAGATACCGTTTTTTGAGTATTAAATATGAAGAAGATAGGTTTTACTGCCGAATAATTACGAGAAAGACTATTTTTTTATGTTTCCTACAAATTATATTTGCATTATTCAAAACACCGAAAAATAATAGAAACAATCCATATAGCATAAGTCACTTTTGGGTGAGGTTTCTGCCAACACTTAAAAAGAAGTACACTCAAAACCGAACATCCTGGCCTGACAGACTTGTTATGAGATTTAAGCCGCACGATGAACAACATTACATCCCCGTCTAATAAATCCTTTCTAGCCTAGCCCGAGTTGCAGAATTTCGCTTAACATTTTACGAGATAAGTCGCCAATTGCGCAGTGCACTGTATGGATGGGCATCTCAAGATTATAAAAACCTCATAAGTACAAACGAATAGGGCACCGAAACAAGAAACCCCGCAAAAGAGATGGTCTTGGGCTAAATTCTAGGGATAGGTGTCACATTTATGGCTAGATGTAGGGTAAATTCTAGTTTTATGGTTGCTGTTATGGCTAATTAAGGGTTAGATTTATGTTTAACGTTAGTGTTGGGCTTAGGGTTTAGTTCTGAATTAGGGCCAATGCCAAGGTCAGCGTTACGATTTTTGAATAAAGACTTGTTCTGGATTTTAATGCAGGGCCAATCATGTTAAGGACGGGGTGCCTAAAGTTAAAAGCTAAAAGATCTATCTTCTACGAATATAAAATTTGACAAGTATAAGAAACGATATGTTCTTGCTTGATTTCAGCGACGGGGACGTCAAAGAAATAAATGCTTTTAATAAGGTCGCATGTTGTCAAGCCGGATGGTAACTAATACATTCAAATAGATTCCACAGATGTAGTTTCAAGCATGCCACTTAGCGGATATAAAGAGGTCGTTTTTTCCGTGAAATTAATTTGCACTTTTCCTTTGTTCTTAATTACGCTAAGTTTCGGTTTAGCCTTAAAGTATCGTTGAATGTCTTATGACATTCAGTGTTTCCAAACCGACTGTTTATAAAGACCGATTCAATATTATGCGTTTATTAAAACCTATAAAATAAGATAGATCTTGAAGGCACTTACCGAAGAATTGATTGTTCGGGGTTATTTTTCATGTAAACAATCGTCTCGGTCACGTGTGAATATTCATCAAAACGTGAAACCTCAATGTCATTGAAATGAACGTCCCCAACAAACTTCAGCAACGAATATGCCTTCGATCAAGTAGTATCTTTTCGTTATTAACCCGCCTTTTTAAGGAGGGCTTTGCTTCTGCATTCCACTGGTGGATGTCTCTGTAGTTTACAATTTGCACGGCGAAGCCAAAAAAACCTTGACACTTTAGACCGTTTCTTTCACATTACAAAAAAAACTTTGATATTTTTCACCGCAAACGTAAGAAAATGCATTTCTCCTCATATTGCGCATATTTCCGTTATCTCAGTCCATTTTAGGCTGCTTTCTACGCTCATAAACCCACGGCATAGTTGGCCTATAAATAAGGCGGTTTTGCTCGCTAGCTTTCTAAGTTACGTATATGCAGAAGGTAAACAGCACGAAAAGTAAGGTCGCGTATCTGTAAATCTTTGAATATGACTATCCAGAAACGGGCACTTTGGCGTCGACGCTTAGAAATTTTCTAAATGGCAAAACAATGTCAGTCCATCTAACCAAAGGACTGCCTATGTGCGTTGTCAGTGCCCCTTAGACCATGAAATTGCACAGGGTTGCCGAGGTGACCTTTAAAAAATCGGGAAAACGTCTGGTTCTCTAAAAGTAAAATGTGTGTTGGCAAATTGATTCTCACGGTAAGCGTCAGACAAAAATAGATTTTCATGTGCTGCAAGCTCTTCTCTTCAGGGACAGTACACTAAGATGCGCATTCAAAGTGTACAGCTGGTGTTGGCATTGTAAATTACCCATTTTTGCTCAAATGTATGGATATTTTACTTGATAGAATTGTTAAGACACAATTTCTGTAGAGCAGAAGGAGATTTCCTAGAAGAACCGGGCAAACGAGCAAACCGCATAACGCTTAAGGCGTGCGAAATTTCGCCTGTCAGATTCTGTCATCAAATCTCATGAATTAGGTCACGTACTGTATGTTCTAGTCGAATTTGTGGAAAGTCACGTCAGGCTAACAAAGTAGTAATCCACCACTTCCACCAGTTGATTAGACCATGCGTAAGTGATACTTAGTTTCAGTTTTAAGGTTCAACGACCACAGTAGATCGCGCATGATATTTCGTTATGATTTGCAGTGAAAGACGTGCGAATTCTTTTCACCACCTGCGACCGGCTTACTAATAGAGAATATCAATGATAATTAAGGAAGTGACTCACTATAGCTCATAACGCGAGAATTCGTCTCTTTCTCCGAAAAAAACGCTCTGTGCGCACGATTTCGATATCAAAGTCTGCCAAGGTATTTTTTGGAAGGTACCTCAATGGCAAAAATTACAAAAAATACAACAAGGTGAAACGATGAACCATTGATTTGAGGTTATACAGTGATGGAACTGCTGTCTTCTGCGTGAGCTGGATCAGCTTTGGTCTAATTTGAGTATCCATGGCCTTTTATAAGATTCATCCAAACAGCGGTGCACAGTCGCCGAATCGACAGTTACCACCAGGAATTTACAAAAGAAGAACTGCGTAAATAGCGTCTACATGACTGACAGGACAACGGGCCCGTGGCCCAGTGGTTAGAGGCGTTGGACTTCTAAACAGCAGGCCGCCAGATCGAACCCCATGTGTTCCGCACCTCAGAATTCGGCACGATTGACTGATGACGGCTTAAAATGCAGAAATGACTATTACAGCCTACATCGTCTTTGCGGGATATATTGCTCTGCCTATAAATAATTTTTATTGGTTTTCGCCGTAGAGTTCTTCCTGTGAAAACTGAAATACCTCAATAATTAAGTGCGTATTGCTGATGCAAATGATATATTCCACCACAGGTGTAGACAGGAAAGACTAAAACAGTCATTTCTGTCATGCTAAACGTCATTAACGAGCCATGCTCAAGTCCAGATTTTCCAACATTTAACGCTCAAACCAACATACTTAAATGCTCTCATTGACGGAACATGAAACCTCTCTTGTTCAAATTGGTATATCTTACCTAAAAATGATAGAGGACGACTGCTGAAGCCACATCCAGTTTGCAGGTTATCAGACCAAGTGGACGCCTATTACTGGCAACGGTGCAAATACCATTCTCTCCGAATTCTAGAAGCTCTACTTTGTACGTGCACCTCATATTTGTCTTCCTTTGGAAAGTTTGGAAAGTGTGAGGTAGGCGTCATAGAAGATGTTGAGTATTGAGCAGAGATAGGGCATCCAGGTACGACGGACATCGATTTTCCGCTATATTCATATGGTCGGAGTGGTGGGAATGTAGCAAGTGAGTCATTTTCTGATGAAGAAAGCTGTCGTGAATACATGCAAATGAAGAATTATTAATATGCAGTACATCTTGTTGATGGATGAAGTACACCCAAGTGCTGCACACATTGAACGAATGACTTAAATATGTTTCCAAAATGCAGTTAATTGGTTGACGTCTTGACAGACATACCGTGCAGTCAGCAGCACACACGAAAGTCCCTTTGTTTCAGCCACCCTATCCAGGAAATTGGGTCCCTCCATAGCATAGTAAACAAAAACGAAGTCAGCGTTGGAAATCCAGGCAGCGGTTTCGCACTACATCTGCAAAACATGCGTCAGTGAATAAATAAAAGGCCTATCTATAATCTTTTGTTTTGATTTCGCTGCAATAGTTTTAGGATCAAGAGACTAAAATGAATAACGCTTTATGTTTTAAGTAACTTTGCATGTCGATACAAAGCCAAAGGAATATGCTTATCCCCACCAAGCTTTCATTTTAAGGCTTATTTCGCGTTTTAGAAATGTGTCCTAACGGGGGCATGCACAACGTTTTTAGCCCACCAAGCTCTGACAGCATATTAAACCAATCGTGCTTGCCGGCGATAAGGTGACACACTTGGTGAGGAAGGACATCTGCAAAATTGACAAGTTCTTCATTCGACATAATCCGCTTACCTTTATGTCGCTGCCTACATAACCTTCTCCTTAAACACCGGAAATCTAAAAGGTTGCATTCCAGGCCACAGTAGAGAACCGTAATTGCTTTCCCTATCATCGTCACTAGAGTGCAGCACTTAACGCTGTCTTTTGAAGGGGTGGAAACTGTTTGCTCTCTGACATGATGCCGATGGAAATTAGCGTTACCATTTCAATTAATGCAGTAAATGCTGTACGTGGAATCGTCACAATATGCAGTCAAACGGATATCTGCATTTTAAAACACACTGAGGTCTAACCACTACTGTATAGCAACGTCTCACATTTTCAGTGTTGATACCACTGTCTTACTCATGGGAAGCTTTAAGCATGCTGCAACCTCTCGATTAATATCAACGTAACTTTAGGTTTTCACTGCTAACCTAAATAATCTGAACAAGGGCCTAATGAGTTATTAGCGTTGGTCAACACAACAGTCGAAATTACTCCCCATTGATCCAAATCAGGTGACTTGCATTCTTGGTCGCAGTAATGTGCCATAGGTGCCTTCAGTGTTATTGACTTTAAATTGCAGCCACCTTAAGGTCTCTTTCACAGGCCTGGGCATAGCATTCTGTCTACCATGAAGCAGACAGACGTTACCATGAGCTCTTCATTTATTTTCCTTGCGGCGTCAAATGGATTTTCAGGCTGCAGTCAAAACTAGTACCTAAACGCTAAAACACCATGAGTTTTAACCAAATCTCTACAACCTAACCTCCCATTAGCGGCATTGATGCCAGTTGTTTGCTCATTGGCATTTTTGAGTGTATTGTAGGCTCTTGGTGTAAGTCCAAATGAACTTAAACTTCCTCCACCGAAATAACTAATCTGGAAGAGTACATAAAAAACAATGAGAATCTGCTAATGCAACAGTCGAAATTATCCTCGGCTCATCCAGTCTAGCCAGGTCTGATAGATAAACGTATTGTAACATACTTTTGCACGTGAATATCGCGTAGAAGTAGACTCTGCGAGCGACAAATGCCAGAGAGAAAGTCCACCAACGACCCGCTACATAACTTGTGTGCGGTCACACCATGATGAAATGGCAGAAGTTATTAATATGGTTGCGTCGGAGTTTTCCATATTAACTAACAAACGGAACCCGGACGGCATTACACATCCAAATGAAGCATTCTCATACTGCTTTTAACGAGGTTAGGTTAGAATTTTAACCAATTAAATGCCACTCAAAAAGTCGAGAAATTGTATCTGAACAAATCAAACCAAATTGTAACTTTATTAAAAAATGACAAAGTTGACTGAATGAAACGTCCAAAGCAATTTATCGCAAACGGTCCACAATAACCTAGAGTGACCGATGAAGTGTAAGGCATTGGTCGCATGCCAAGGCTTTAAGCAAGTTTATTAGACATCTACACAGCTTTAAGCAAGTTGACAAAACACAGATCCAAAGGTGGTCGATACCTGACAATTTACACTCGGCGCCGACATTTCAATGCGTAATGACGATAGAGACGGGCAAAATTTTGAAAAATCACGTTCGGCCCATTCAACTACAAACGGTACATCAGCTACTGCATTTGGAGACGACAAGGGAGTGGTCTTCGGTCACACGTTAAGTTCAGCAGTGACTTCGACATTTATTTTTCGTTTATGAACTGCGGCTGTCTATAAAACGTGTCTTTTTACAGATAATTGAAGCTTGCTAGATATGGCATAATTTTTATGGCCAGCCTCTAACAAAAAAAAATAAATTGAAAGCAATAAGTTTCGTCAAATATACCACCGTACACCTGCTCCACATAGGAGCAGTACCACAATATATGGAAATCCGATGTAACATGATTTTACCGCACGGTTTTGCCGAACATCTCACGCTTTCACTACACATGTAACTTCGCGGCACTTTGCTTCGGAGCGTGTCAGGTTAAAGAACAGATTGGCAGACTTTGTTTTTATAATGTAAAGGATTCAAAGTTTGAATCCAGGACAGGAGATTTTACGGTCATTTTCGACGTCTTAATTATGATTGAATTGATTGTTTAAAGTTATTCGCAAACACTTTTTAATGCCCCTTTGCGCGGAAGTTGACTTTACGAATAGTGTTATTTACGAATTGTTGTATAGTTCATAAGCAGCAGTGATAAACGGTCAGATAACATTCTTCATTGGCATTTGTGTCAAAATACCAAAATTATCAAGATAAAAATCCCATTTAAATCGCGTAGCACGATATCATTCATGTATTAATTTACAGAACGTGATATCTTGTCAAAATAGTACGGTAAAGCCTACTTAATGAACCAGTGCTTAATTAATGGGAAATATTTCTGCTGAAATAATATTTTCTTTTTCAACGAGATTGTCGGACAGCCGGGTCAATGTTCACTGAAAATTCGGCATACTGGCATGAATGTAACGTTATAGGATTATACAGTATGACAATTAATTCGAAGAAGAATGAGTCCTTTGGGAAAATGAAAAAACTTTATTTCGTAAATTTGCGAGTCTGGTTCCCCAGCTCGTCTTCAGACGTGTAGTAAAAGTGAAGAAACAGTCAACATTTAAACAATGCCGAAAAAAATCGATATTGCTCTGTCATGGCTGAGGATGGGTTAATGCTGTGGGCTGATGTCACGTCTTGATTGGCTATTACCTTTTCCATTTTTCTTTGAGATTTGTGTACATGGTATCAAGGTCAGTGTGAATGGCCTCTAGGAATTCTCGGCCTTTCTTATATGGGCAGGAACCGACAATGCGTGTTTTATCCCAAGCGAATTTGTGCTCAGTTTCAAGAATATGCATGGCGACTTGGGATGATTGGTCCCGCCTCTTTACTGGCAGTATGACAATTAATATGAAAACCTTATCTAGAGATTCCCTGCGGTTAAAACAGGCTTCAGAATTTTTGGTCAACATTTCTTTGAATTGACTACTGACTACACCATAAAATGAACATCCCCTGAGTTTTTACAAATTTTCATGAGCAGAAAGTGATTCAGCCGTATATTCAAGTTTCAAGAATAAAACAGTACCTTTTTGTTTGATCACGTATTCAAATACCCCAACGTGTAACTCTCTGAATATGGACTGCATGCCTACAATTATTTTCATATTTACATTAACACGTTTCCACTAATAACCTTCTGTGCATTTTGTCCTCGTCAAGGAGAATATTTTTTATCAGCGCAGGTCAAAAAATGAATTGAAATGTACAGTAAAATTCCACAGTTGAGTAGTACGCAGTGGGAAGGGTTTTGCGTGTGCAGCTTACTGTTGCTCCCGTTGCCTGCACATTTAACATCAAAAATCGAAAAGTACTGTGGGCTCTCTTTCACAAAGGGTGGAGACAGTATGCTGTCTGTCATGATGCAGACAGAGATCAACACGGCCTTTTCATTTAATTCAGCTGCTGCATCAAGTGGAATGGCCCCAGACTGCAGGTAAATGGACATCGGCACTTTAAAACACACTGGGCGTAAAGCAACCCCTTATAATAAACCTTCATCATAACCTTTATAATAACCTTTATATAAACTTTATACTAATCTGACGTTTATAACAGGATTTTTTCTTTGCAGTGTTGATGTCAAGTTCTTACTTATGGGCAGCTTTATGGGTGCTGCAGTCTCTTGATTTAAATTCACGCACAGTACCTGTGCAAACTCATGAAATGCCGAGGTCAAAATTATAGTGGGAAATGTAGCGTATTTTTGGTGTCGTTATTTGTGTTTATTTAGTTGAAATAAGGACGAAAAGACCGTTATCTGAAGGAAAGTTTGATACGGATCTGTATATTAAATAGACAACGGGCCGGATTTAGGCGAAATCGGAGGATTCCTGATATTCAAGCAGTTTCCTACGCTATTAAAGCTTTCGGATGGAAATTCTTTGTGTTACCTTATCAATCTGTTTAAGAAGATTAATAAAAGGAGGAAATTTTTTAATAAGCTTTCGAACAAAAAAAAAATTAAATTTCAATATCAACAAAATCAGGGAAATGCAAATAAATTTTTTCTTATTATGTTCAGGAAATAACGTGCGTCTTTATCTAAAAATTCTATTTTACAAATTCGTAAAGTTTTATGTTTCAAAATACCGAAATAAAAAAGTTTATCAGTGTGATTGTTTTACCAGACTGAAAATGCGTGTCATAAACGAATATATATTGAGTTCGCGCGACATGCCGTCACTTTGCTCTGCCACGCCAAACGATAACTATGTCTAAACAATACTTATCCGAAGTTGACTTCCAGCGCATTCGAAAATTAGCGGCGGAGGGAATCCCGCGTGAGTCGTTAGCTAGTATTTTCAATATTAGCAAGGTCACTCTGTGGCGCATTATTAATGATAAAACTGTTCCTAGAAATAAGATAGGGGGACCAAAACCGTCCACAAGTAAGCAAGACGACGATTTTATTCGTCGTACATTAAAAAAGTTTCATTACATGCCCATTGAGACCATTCAGCGGGAACATCTGCCGATGTTTTCTATGAACATCATTAGAAAAAGGATGAAGGAATTTGAACTGCAGCGGCGGAAGGCCATGATTAAGCCATATTTAAGTAGAAAACTAATTAGAGAACGGCTTTTATTTGCTAAGAAATATATTGATTACAGATTTTCATTTTGGAAGAGCATTTTCTTCTGCGATGAGGTTCTATTTTTAGACAAGCCTACGAAATCGCTCCAAACCGTCATATGTGGAAAGAACTTCCCAAGAGACCACATTACACGGACGGCAACATTCAAGAACTGTCGGCGGATGATGGTTTGGATGGCGATTAAATTCGGTGAGCGGCCTGTCTGGCGGTCAACATCCGACACCATCAACAGCAAAGTGTTCATTGCAATTGTCAAGGATGCTTTCGGCTACAACGGCATAAGTCGGCGCCGAATGGATACTGTAATTTTGCAGGACAATGCACCTGTCCACCGCTCTAAAGAGGTACGAATTTGATGCCGCTTGCAAATATAATCTAACATTTTAGACAACAACCACGCTCTCCGCAATTGGCCTCCAATCCATTTTCATCCCGGCCAACAGTCCCGATTAAAATCCTATCGAAAATCTTTTTGGAATAGTCAAAAGAAATTGGCACAAAGCTAAGAAGACTCTTTCAATGCAGGAAAAATTGGATTTCATACTCAATAATTACATTTTACAATCCACCATAGATAACCTTGTCATGTCTATGTCGGACAGACTTTCTGCTGTTATTAATTCGAATGGACAATCTACAAAGTACTAATTTTTTGTATATGTTTCTGTCCTTAATTATTTTTGACCGTTTATGCGCCCTCCTCCTTTATACGTCCTCATACGTAGCCTTTATTAACTTGGTTGTAATATAGGCGTTTCTCGAAAATGTGACTTTTGTCGAAAATTATTTACTTTTATCTCAGTAAATAATATTTTCTTAACCAAACTTTGCTTTATTTCTTTGACACATCGTTTATTTTCCGCTATCAGACTTTGGGAGCCGTAGTGTTTACCGATTCTGCGTTAAAGTCGTTAACCGACGGATCTTATTTTGTTGCTGTGCTTGCAGTAGATAGGCCACAGCCTAATCCCAAACCCTAACCTTCAACTCTAGCGTCTTACCCCAATCCCTAACCTTAAACTCTAGCCCCTTACCCCAATCCGTAATATTGAACTCTAACCACTAACCCTTAACTCCAAACCCTAACGCCAACCTCTTAACGCCTAACAGGTAGGGATACGAAAGGCGATCTTGCCGATGATACTTAATGAAGCAGAAGACTACAGACGAACAAGGCGTGGCAACGGGTTTCGTGGGCAACAAAGGCCAGGCAGACAGTCAACAAAAAACTCGCCGCATAACTTATGTGCGGTCACATCGCGAATGGCAGAATTACTTAATATTGTTGGGCAGGAGGTTTCCATACGAACAAACAAACGGAACCCGGAGAGCGTGACCCATTCAAAGGAAGACCTCCTACAGTGACTTCCAGAAATAGAGTGACGATTTGAACCAAATAAATGTCATTCAAGAGGTAGAAACTTTCATCCAAGCAAATAAAGCAACACTGTCACTTAGTTAAAAAAAATGATAAACTTGGCGTAACTGATAGAGATACGTATTTTAAAATAATTCTACACGTAATTGTTCCGTTGGAGTAGATAATGGAGGAAACAAATTTCAGACATAAAGTCTACAAATCCCCTCACCTACATAATTTGTGTGCGGTCACATCGAGAACTATTATGAAACGGCAGAATTAAATAGCATCGTTTGGTCGGAGTTTTCCCTACAGAGCGAAAAACGGAACCCGAAATGCGTGAGTCATCCAAATGAAGTGTTCTTATAGTGCTTAAAATAAAAATTGAAACCAACTGAATACCGTTCGGGAGGTCAAAAAATTCACCCAAGCAAGTCAGGCCAATTGCAACATAATAAAAAAATAATGAAGTTTACTAAATAAAACGTTCCAACTAATAGGTAAGGATACAGGCATGACATAGGTATGACTGGCTGACGAAGGCTAATAGACCAGAAATGACCATCCCAGTCTCCTTTGGCTTTGTTGATAATAACATTCTGCCTATGTGATGCGCCGCGATGTGGCTGCTGGTCGGACTCGAGAGAGAGTCCGGCGCGAATGAGTTAAGTAATATTGTTCGGTGAGCGCCCCTCTTGCATTGGATATTCAGATCGTAACCGACCTTACGGTCTCGTGCTCGAACCCCAAGTGGTCCACACATGAGGTTGGGTATGAATTCAGAACTTATTTAGTGCAGGACGTAGACGTAAGTCTCTGGACATGACTTTCTAAGATGGGACTCGCAATTTCAATGAAATTTCGAGTCAAAGACAGTCAACTGCTATGAACTTAACTCCATTTCCTGCACTGAATAATTTCTGAAATTGTTCGCTTTATTCTTCTCCCGACTTCATATACCAGAAACAGCATAGAAGAAGCTGGGGACACAATGAGGAGCTGACTCCCTCATAACTATGTCTCTGAACAACAAAATACCGGCGAAAATCGTGTCTGCGCTTTTGGCAAATGTCTATGTCGGAGGGATGGGATAACCCGTTTACCATGTATGCATATGCGTGTATGCCTTCAATCACTTGGTCGGTCTGGCGATAAATTGCCCTGCCACTATGCATCAGAGACTGCTTTGAACATTGGCGTCCTGAGCATGTACTGCAGACATAATTCTGTATGCTACCCTGTTTGATTATTTACCGGATTTAAGGCTACTGTTCGGCAGTCTTGGTGGGACTGGAACCCATGAAATGAAGGCGAAGGCCTAAAACAAGCAATGCTCTAGCCATCACAGATCTTAGGCCCCAGCGAAGGCCGCGGATTTAAACACATTTGAGTCAAGTTACCCACCCAGCCTTCTGCAACGCACTGAATCCACCAAAACAGCTATAAAAGTAAACATAACAATTCTTAATATAAACAGGAAAATTTCCTTTCGTCAAATTTTTCTAAAGTTATTTCCGCTACTTAGGTATAATGGGTTTTATATCCTGATGAGGTATCGGAGAATACTTCTTAATGCTCCGTGTTTTCAATCGATTGCTAATAAATGTCGATCACTCCTATGTGTTTATTAAATTCCATAAGATAAGATAGTTCCAGGAAGTGTTTACCAAAGTAGAGAGTTTTCGGACAATCCTGTCTATGTAGACGGTCACTTGGAGAATATTTGCAGACATACCAAGACAGAAAAATCTCATCGCCGAGAAAAATAAAGGTGCAAAAGTGGTGTCGGCCATGAATACGTCCAAGACCACTTTAAAAACATTTGCTAATAGGTTACGACTTTAAAAATTTATGAATTAGTTATTTCGTTTACTGATGTCTGCGCACTTTCCTTTTTCGAAGGCAACGAACAGGCAAGCGTTAAGACATCTAATCGGCTTTTTTATTTCCATGAAAACGAGCGAAAATGCTTCCGCTACAAACGACAGAAAATTATTTTCTCTTTTAATTGGAGCATAGTTCGCCTTTAATTTATACCTTTGGATTCCGTTCTGAGATTTTAAATGTACAAAAAACTAGCAGGATAAATAATAAGCTAGTGCAAAAATTGCTAATATTTTGCCCGTTCCGGTTTTAAACTAGGGAAAATTGCACACTATCAAAAGTTACCAAAGCACTTTGTGGAGGACCTTTTCGCGATGACCTATTGAGTGTTCTCAAAGGGTGTGAAAATATCAGAATAATTATCGAAGGATTCCCAGTAGGCGTTCTTACTGTGTTTTTGTCATATGACCGCACGTAGTTCCAAATCTGTCATTTAAAGCCCATAAAACTTCTGGCTTTCTAAAAAAAATCTGCTGGCTTGCACCTTGCTTCATCTGTTTAACGTGGGATAGGATAGGTTTTCAAGAAAGCAAGATCCGTTTTAAATATTTTCCATGGCAAGTTTAATTTCGTCTCATCAAATTTAAGCGCTGGTGTGCAAGCTTAGTCTAGGATGACTATTAGCATTAGAAACCTCTTAAACACGAGCTAACATAGATTTCCGCTCAAATTTGTAATCATTTTCATTGAAATATTATTTATAGGCATACTGCGCAAAATGAACGTGTTTCGTAATAACTTAGGCGAATAAACAAAATAAGCAGCTCGTTATCTGCCCACAATCGATATTCTCAATTTCGTATTCACGTTTCATGTGTTAGACTACAAGCTGTACATAAACATTGGATTATTACGGTGCACTCAAAAGTCCGATGTTGCAGTTACCACCAACTTTGGAAATTGGGAATGGTTTTAAAAACTGAATTATACACTTCCGTTTCCTACCGGATGAGTAAATGAATAGATTTTTTTATGCATATCTTCCATGAAATACAATTGAATGTTTAAGGACATCGAAAATCTATGAGAAAAACTCATGGTAAATACGTGGTCATTTGTTAGAGAGTATAGTTTGTGCATGCGACCATAATGAAATTCTTTCGAAAACCGACATCCTGAGGTAACTGAATTATTACAGAAGTGTGCTGCATGATTATTAATTTTACAACACTACTTCAGTAGTCTTTTCGAAACAAAAACGCATTTCAGAATGAGTTAGCACACCTACTGTACTAATATTTGCCTATTTACAATAACCCGTTCCTAACATCAATATAGCCCTGTAAGCTGTTTTGTCGTAAAAGGTGTTAACAGCACGAATTAATAGTTGATCAACAGTTTATATCTCGCTGACTAACGAACTATAGCATGCTTCAGCAGAAAAAATCATAAAAATTCCACAGCTTCAGGCCTTTTCTGAGCCCAGCATCAGCAAGGCGACAATTTTTGCACAGACCTTGAATAACCAAAGAGCGTCTGCGCTACATGCAGTTTGGAGGGTTTTGAGTTTGAAGCTGACCTGTGCCCCTGTTACCTACACTCTTGATTTCCAAAGTCAACCAATTTAAACTCTAGGTCTTACTAGAGAACCAGAATTCCGTTCCCCCCACAATCCAGCAGTCAAATTTTGCCTTCATTGGCGTGGACACAGCATGATGTCTAAAATGATGAAAACGGAAATTCACATGACCCCTCATTTGATTTAGTAAATTATTTGATTGGAATCGTCCCAGACTTCAGTCAAATACACAGGTGCACACTAGAGCACACTGCGTGTTAAATTAACCTTTGCAGGAAAATTCCAGATTTGCAGTATTGATGCCAATTTTTCAGTTATGGAGAGATTTAAATGTGCCACAACCTCTTGGTCCAAATCCATATAAATTTGGGTTTCCTAGCTGACTTAACCAATCCCAAGAATAACATAAAGAGAAATACGAATTAGCTAACACAACATTAGAAATTATTCTTAGCAGGTACAAATCAGACGTGGCGGGTAGAAATGCGTATTATAGCATAATTCAGAACGTGAAGGTCGCGTGTGTGTAGAGTCTGCGTGCAACAAAGCTCAGCCAGACGGGCAACGAAATACCCGCCGCATAATTTGTATGCGGTCACATCACGAACTATTATGCAGGGGTAGAATTTATTAATAAAGTTAGGTCGGGGTTTTCCCTATGAAGTGACATGCAGAACTCGGAGGACGTGATCCCTTCAGATGAATTGCTCCTGTAACAATTTCATGGGGTAAGGCGTGAAACAGCTTAATACCATTCAAGTATTCAAAAAGTTGCCTTTAATCTAATACGACAACTTTGTAACATAATTGAGAAAAAAGGATGAATTTGACTAAATATAATGGTAGAGGGGCGTTCACCGGTCATTCGGTTAACGGGCCGGTGGTGCAGTGGTTAGGCGTGTTGGACTTCTAACTAACAGGTCGCGAGTTCGAGCCCCTGATGTTCCACACTTTGAGGTTGGGTATGACTGGCTGACGGCAGCCAATAAGTCAGAAGTGCAATTTTAGGTCTCCCTTGTCTTTATTGGTAATAACATTCTACTGAATATAATGCTCGAAGTACTTTATCGCGGACGGTCCCGAATTGCATTGTCTAACCGATGGAGTTCAAGATATTCACCATGCGCATGCGCAACCGCTGACGACTGGGTTCCTCCGTGTACTCCACATTATTTTCCTTGCTGCTTTGCTGTATCCGTAATGAAGACGAATAAGACCTCATTGATTTTGCAAAAGACAGTAGTATGTGAATGTAAGTGACCGTGACCGGACCATTTGTGGTCTATGCGACAATGTAACGTACAATGTAATTAGAGACAGTAAATATTTCCAAGAACTGCGTTGGGCCCACTTTACTATGGGTTGCACATCAGTTATTCAAGTCGAATCTAATAGAGGTTTTGCATTACTACAAATACAGGTACTACTTTCATGACAATCACGTATTTGGCAATCTTTCGCTGCGCTGAAGCGAAGTGATGGGTCCCCATGGATTCGCAGGACGCAACGTGGCCGTCTTCTCCTTCTGAAAACCTTCACAGAACACCGCCTTCTTCTGGCCAACATCATCTTCCATCTTCCAACGCGCGAGAAGCCAACCTGAATGTATCCTCAACCGCGGAATTGGCAACGGCTGGGTTATATTCTCATCCGAGGGATTAGTTGATAGAACGTGCTGGTGACCAAGGCGATCTAGGGTGCCGACGACTACGACTACAACCACTTAGGCCACCGCAGGATAATTGACCACCAAGTAAGTTAAATACTGTTCTGCAGAATCTGCCTCTTCGACACTTCGATTTTCGCAATCATTTGGCCCAGCGACCGGCGGATTTGCAAACCGCAGATGAAAATGCTTCCGTGGGAACTCGACTGCACCTACTGCGGTACGCCGTCTACACTACCACTCTGGATTTCCTCAGACACGAGCGTCATCAACGCCAGTGCTGGCTTAACGACGGCGACACAGACGTCAACATCCTGTTCACCGAAAAGAACAGGCTCCACAAAGCCCACATTGACCGCAGGACAAACGCATAAAACGCGACCTTCTACAGATGTCGCCGTATTGTGTAACAACGGTCGAGGGAAGTGCACGACATCTAGATGTCTCGCAAGGCCAAGGAGACCTCAAAATTAGCAAGGCGCAATGGTGCATAGAACTAACTGGTATCACTAAAGACGGTATACGATTCCATAGCCAGAGAACCTCCCCGCATTTTAGCTCTAAAGGGCAGAACTTTGAAACCACGACCCCGACGGATGGACAAACTTACAGCCCTTTTCCAGGTGATGTATTGTCAAGGTCAAATTCTTTAAGATCTCACGGACGGAGCAGTCGTCCAACAGCGCACTTGAAAAAAAACAGCAATTTTGTGACAGTCACAGAGAAATTACTTTGCTCAAGATCCGCGATAAAAGCTCCATTCACAGCCTCCTCAATCCCTTCACTAGCCACTTGGAACGAGGAATTCTGCCGGAAAGCCAGTGTGTCTTCCAACAACACTGCAACTGGCTTGATCCACCACACACAACTGCATGCTTTTCCTGGTGGAATCTGACACATTCCCTGACAGATATTTGACGAGGGCGCTCTTCCGATGTCGACTTGCCTTCGTCCAGCTGCTTACTCTCTCCAACCTTTCCCCTCCCAGTTATACTGTAGAGAACGCATCACCCTCCCAACTGGCATCACGCCTTTCTCCTCACTCGGGAGAGATTGTGGTAGCTAGCGTTTCACTCTCTGTCACGGTCTCTACAATAAGTGAGTGCTTTCACGGAGACAGCCCTTTGATCAACCTCTCCATGTTCTGCTTTCCTGTCAAAGATCAGTCAGATATTCAAACGGGAAACGTCAGTTAGATCCTTAACTCAATGTTTTCAATCACAAGTGTTACTACACCTGGAAATGTGAGATGTTGGCCTGCAGCAGCAAATCTCCATGAGCATTACGGAGACTGTGGTTGAGGCATGTAGTTACAAATCTTTCCAGAATTTATTCAGTCTGGCTGCGACAAGTATTACTATCATGCCCAATGCATCGCCCTCTGATACTCCAAGTTTTTGCAATCCCAAATGCAGATCATTTATAAGTTGCCATGCGGTGACCTGGGCTGAAATATAAGTGCATACTGGCAGCCGTAAACGCAGAAAAACGCTCTTAAAGTCGTAATTAATGGTGCCTTACATTGTTCATGTCTCAAATTCGTTTTCTGCTTCCTCACTTTTAGCGTGCAAATAATGAGGTTATATTACTGGCTAACTGTAAAGGCGATTACTGCAGATTCGCTTTGCTTATGGAATTTTGAAAACATAGTTTTAGCATGATTAATCGGACACCCGAAATTCTCATGCCTTGAAGCATATAGGCCACTTCCACATCCCAACATTAATTGATGGTTATCTTGCGTACAACGTTGTGTTCAAAATAATATCTTGTTAACCACATACGGTTTGGCGAGATTAAACATATGGTCAGGAATCAGAAGCTAGTTCAGTAGTCAATTGCATCCTTAACTTGCTCATTCTTCAGGCGATATGGCATGCAATAACGGAAAGTAGGAAATATTTCAAAATCCTATTAGCTTATGCTTTGATTGTAACAACGTTTGAAAATAATGTATGACAGGGGGGATGGAAGAAGCAAACTGCCCACCGCGTGACGACGCTTCACACACAAACTACAGAGGCAATGATTGCAATTTGCCTACATGCATCCATCTTCGGCTATTTCTAGGGTCTGATAATTTATCAGTCAATGGTGATTTTCTATTGTGCCGGCAAAAGTCCATTCGCTTTTTTCCATAAGATAATGGTGCATAGACCTTGATGCGAATGTGAAAGTGAGCAACAAATTATTGATTCACACTGTAGGAAAGACTGCATTAAAAAAACCACACTCTGAAAAACCCGACAACTCAGGTAACAGGATTTTTTTCATGTCGACTTTTGTCTTCATTATAAATTCAAATATTTATATATATTAGGCAGAAAATCACGTCATCTATCAATGTTGTACTCGAAGACGGGGTATAATTCGGTTCTAAACTGTTTCATTTGAGAGATTTTTCATGCCGTAAATTGTTCTTTGCTAAAACAGCCTGTATCTGCATTTGCTAACCGAACAAGTTACGGAGCAAGTTTAAGATATGGCTCAAATCCACTGCTAAATTTTATGAAATCCATAAGATATACTACTAATACCGTGGAGAACAGTATGGTTTCCCGTACGCTGAAAATATACGGCTCGCAGTTTAAAAACCCTGAGTGCTAGTATAGCGGAAGGTCAAGGATCAAAATTGCTAGAAAATCGGGAATGTTTTTTTAAAACCGAATTATACACTTCCTTCGAGTAAAAAGTTATAAAAATGTGACTTCCTACCGAATGAGTGAAGTGGTAGAAATATTTATTTTATTTATTTTTCTCATGAAGTATTATTGAATGTGTTAGGAAATCGACTATCATGGGAATTACGTAGTCGTTTTTACGCATTATATCTTTTCCATGCAGACGGAAGAAATTTCGTCCGAAAGCCGACATCCAGACGTGACTGAATTATTATAGGATTGTGTTCCAGGATGACTACTTTTAACACCCTATTAAAGGTATCCTTTTGAAAAGAAAGTTATTTTAAAAATTCGGTGGGTATTTCATGAGTTAGCCCACCTACTGTATGTCGTTTTTGCTTAACATTCTGACCCTTCTTGGAAAAACTGGAAGGAGACATTTTTAACTCATATGTCATCTAGTTGATGTTATAATTGCTGGTGTTTTTGCGAATCAACGTAATTAATTCACATGGGCTGTTGAGCACAGTTCGTGCCTGACAACGATTTTGGTGCATTCTGCTAATCGCGACCTGTCTGTCTAGAGAACGGCCAATTACCTGCATCACGCAAACATATTTAAACCAGTCCCGCCATCCCATGGCATCCTTACACTTGATGCACACATGCAGATGATGCATCAAACTTCACTTCTGCTCCATGCGAACATGCTTGCGAGAATGGTAACTGCGTGCATTCCAAATCACGGTTAGTGTTTCCTCTTATCTTCATTATTGCAACATGCATTCAAAATTCTAGACAGCATCGCCTTGGATGAGCTGTCTCCGCTCAACGCCCAACATCTTCTGTCGAAATCCGTAGGAGAAGTCCGCAGATTCTTCGGGATATGGAAGACCACCTGCAATTCTACAATAAGGACCATTGACTTCGGAGAGGATGACGTTTGCACTACTGATGACGATGTGAATGCTACGTCTGGGTTAATATACTGCGAGCGGAATGTGACCTTCATCGTCGGTTCGTTTACGTGGGAGGTAAATTATGTTAGTTTGAAAGAGGATGTGTGATATAAAGGCCTGTAGACACACGCATTCGCGATAGTTCGACAGCCGCATCCGGCGATGTGCATCGTATGCTCCTCAGCAGGGCAGGAGCAGGGACGGTGACTTGCGCGGGATTTATAGTGAGAGTTGACTTGCGATGAATCTACCACACTCTCTCCCCCTACCCCACCTAGAACCGGTGTCATAAAAACTGGAAACGTGAGAGGGCGCAGGTGACTGACACGGTCGAACCCGAACTTTGGCGTTCTACTCCCCACCCCCTGGTTCACACAAAAAATAACCATGTTTTTGACCAACAACCACAAAGAGATTGCAGGCTGGCACGGCCGAAGCCGCACCTAGACGTGCCGCCCACACCCGGCTTGGATTCCACACATTGGGAGTGCCATTAAGGCCACCTTAAGAAGGCGACATTGCAGCCTGACTCTCAGACCACCAGCCGGCCACGCCACACAAACACACAACACTGGGCCGATTGCGAGGTTCAAGTTATCCCGTCAGTTGGCAACCTTCCAAGCCGAGGCCTTTAGCGCACCGTGATAGCTTCAACCGCGTCAGATTGTTTATAGTGAGGAAAATGCGCTGAGTCGTCGACATCACTCTCCCTGTCCATCTTCTTGCCTAGGACACTGTCCGAGACGGTCAGATGATCGGAACGGGGAATGGACACGTACAGTTGTAAAACATCTACGGGCCCGAGTATTTCGAAATCTGGCAAACTGTTCTGGTAATCCAGATGAAATAACTTGGGTGGTCTTTTCTGCAGAAGGATTTGAAAAAAATTATCGCAATTATTTCGGAAAATATATTGCCTTTCTACTTCACTGTTTTCATAGCTGTGCATAACTTGCAGATGTAAGCATCTCGCAGAACTAGGACGTAATTCTTGCTAATTCATCTAAGGATTTGATCCAGTCGCGCCTCAGCTCTATTTTGCATTTGTCATGTTCAATACTCTTTCAAATGATATCCAGATATTGAAAAATAGTTGTATATACGACGTGCAAACGGATCATCCGAGGGAAAACCATATGCATTTCCCGTGATCTATTACTATGAATCAATGTGTCTATGCTTTGGCAGGTATGATTCAGAATTGTGAAAGCGGAAACTATTTTCATCCTGTGTTCGATAGGAGTACATCTTAGCCGCTGCAAACGGTAGCTCAGCTGGGTACAACATGCAAGCCATTACAACACTTCGACGTCACGCCAACCACACCTTGTCCATCCAGGGGGTGAAGATCGGCCGTAAGAAGCGAATTCAGACAGAGGCACAAGTTCCGCCCACAAAAGCTGAGGATGTCTTTGAAGTAGACAAGGAGCTTACGTACACGCTTTCAGCGCGTGAGTTTTGGTACTGTACGCTAATCAGATGTAAGTCCTTGCTTCAGTGAGAAGTTTTCATGATTTCACTTATTTACGCATCTGAAAATGCATAGGACTTGAAGTTTTGATGAGAGTACAGCTAGATTTCTTTCGAACTCGAGAAAAAATACAAATTACGGTGGGACTAGCAGAACATATTTATTATTAATATTCAGTCTCGTAGAGGACAGGCCAAATAGGAACCAGTACCAGTATTTGCATAAAATGATTCGATATTTACTGACAGAATCACTAATGGATGTGCCCAGATTTTAAACGTGAATATGTGCACTGTTTAATCATTTACAATACACAAATGACGATGGTGTGAGTAATTTTTCATTTCACACAAATTTCGCTCACTGGATTTTGTGGGTCTAGTAGGTGTTTTTGCAGATTTTAAACAACTTACTTTGAGAAACTGTGAAAAATGCGGCGACCTCGTTGTGCTTCGAACCCATGTTAGCAAGAAGAGGGACTATGTAAACCAACCCTCAGGCCAATTCAGCTGAATGTGATTAAACTCACGTCTCCCGATGAGGTGTCGTAGCGAGGTGGTCAGAGCTTTGGCTATATTTTAGTCCTCCGCGCGTTGTCGTGGGTTTAAATTCTACCGATGTGGCCGACTTTTTTACGATTTTCTCGGGAGAGATTTTTGAGTTCCTTAATTTCTGAGAATTTGTTGGAGCTGACAGTTATTTGAACGAAAGCTTTAGCACAAAAATATGTTCTGAAATTTTTATTTAAAGAAATTTCAATAGAAATTGTTGCATAATAGTTTGTAAAGTACCCAACTCATTTTTCATGATGTATAAGTATTCTAATCTTAGTTCGCTTCTTGCAATTTCAGTTAAAAACATGGCGGAATTCGTCGACACAGAATTTCGATTGTGAAATCGGAAATACGGCCCACTTAGGAATGTTTGCATAACACCGTCCCCAATCCTTAACAAGAATGAGATCTCCCTTCCTGGCCTTACCAAACCGACAAGAACAGAGATTGTAGTTTTTTTTAATTCTCAAGTGTATGTGGTGCGAACGATTCATGTCTGTATTATTATCTTTTCAATGGAAATTATCTGTACAAAATGAAAATTCCTAACTGCTCATTCGTATTTTGTCTTTACATAATGGAAGGAATTACGATTGACTGAATTTCGGTAAGCCCAGTTTGTTTGTCTCGGCGCACTTAGTGTTACGGGTACCCGGGACTTGACGCATCACGCTTGTCGTCCAGAACCGCACCCAGGCGTGCCACCACACCTCATGGTCCACAACATACACTTGACCGGAAACGTTTCACCAACAATAGCAACAACATCCCAACAGGGATTAGAAGGATAAGGATTATGACTGGGCAGCCATACCCACCACCTGCATACCCAGCAGTAGATCAGGCGTATCTTCCGGCAGGGAACCAGGTGTCAGGGGACAGCCAACGCATACCACGCTGCCAGGGCCATCGTTTGCTGGTACTAGCATAGTACACGTTTTCAGACCTTTTGACCGTACTCAGGGCACAACAATAATCACCCTCCGTTTGGAAGACGAGGAGAATGAGGAAGTGGAGGAGAAGGCGAAGGAGGAGGAGGAGGAGGAGAAGGAGGAGGACGGGGACGACGGTTGAGACAGCGGGTTACATAGAGGCAAAAGGCAGAAGTAGAAGCACGCGAGACACCATATTTTTATGACTATGTTTGGCGGAATGACTATTCAAATAACTCTATAGGCCATTGCTTACGTGTTTTTCTCCGCAGGACTCGAAAGAAAACCCAGTCGATGATGTTACAGGCTCTGTTACATACTAGGAACGTTTTGGAGGATACTGGGGTTTTTACTGAGTCTAGTTGTTATGGTGGAGGGGCGCTCACCGATTGTTCTTACGGAACTCACTCGTTCCATTGTGCCTTACGGGCTCTCTCTCGAGCCCAATCAGCAGCCGCACAGCGGCACATCATATAGGCAGAATGTCATTACCAAAAAGAAAAGGGTAATAACATTCTGCCTACATCATGCGCCGCTGTGCGGCTGCTGGTTGGGCTCGAGAGAGAGCTTGTAAGGCACAACGGAACGCGTGAGGTCCGTAAGAAGCATCGGCTAGTCCCCCTCTACCATTGTATATTTCGACCGAAACCGACAGGACAACGAGCACGTGGCTCAGTGGTTAGAGGCGTTGGACTTCTAACTAAGAGGTCGCGAGGTCGAGCGCCAGGTGTTCCACATCTCGGGGTTGGGTATGACTGGTTGACGACGGCTAATAAGCCAGACATGGCCATTCCATTCTCCCTTGTCTTTGTTGATAGTAATATTGTGTCCAGTTGTTGTCATTTCACACGGATCCAGAACTACTGTACACGGTTGTCCACTCAAATGGACAAAAATCGTATCCGCGTGTTATTTTCGCCTGTAAAGTTTAAAAAACAAATAAGAACCGACGTAGCACCTTAAATAGGGTCAGTTTTCAAAGTAATATGCTCGTTTACAGTTCTTTGCAGCATAATATAACAAACTTTTTAATTTTCTTTACTACTCTTCACAGCCGGATCATACGAAGTGATTAAATCCTGGAGAACATATTACATGCCTAATTGTCGATGTCAGTTTACAGCTCAGGCAGAATGCAAGCCAGAGTCTCGCGTACGCGATCGGAAACTAGCGGTCCAAACCTTCAAAAGGAATCATTATTCCAAGTTCATAGTCGCCGAAATAGAGATGCTCAGGTCGGGAGGATTCACTGAACACTGATCTCCTGATAGGAACTCATTTGAAATGTATTTTGATCTGTCACATAGAGTCCAGCGTAATCAACAGACCGCTTATCAATTAGTGGTTCATGTAAATGTCCTTTCATATGTTGGTGCTGTCAGCTCTGACGACGGATGCCTGTACGAGGTCGAAAGCTCGGAAGAAACCATCAGATGCTTCGGTAGCTCCATTCTGCTTCCCCTTCCATATGCCCATATATATGCTTGGAACTCAAGAAACTGATTTCTCCTGAAAATGTAGCGACGGGTTAACACGACAAATAATTTGAACGCATAGGTAAATCATATCACGTATTCTGAGACTGATTTGGGGATTTATTTATGTGAACATGTTTGGCGCCCATGTTAATCCTCTCGGACGCACATAATATATTAAATACAACCCACACCGTGATATGCACTGTCCAAACCGATTACGGAACATGCATCCGGATGTTAAAGAAAGTCTACTGTAGAACACAAAGCAGCACTCGACCTATTTCTTACGTACTCGCTACAGTATAATTAAATGGTCACTATCGCCACCAAGACGAAGGCAGATGTAACGACTGGAGTTCTAATCCCCCCCCCTAGTTAATCCAACATCTCCGGATGTGTCCGGAATATTTTCTGTTGCTACGACATTAACCATGCTCCAAAGATTATTTAATAGGCTCTGGAATGACTACGGTCTCTTACAGTCACCAAAGTCGCGAAAAATACAGTCTGTCTAAATGCTACGCTTAACAGTTGCTCAGATGCTGACTTCGGTCACTGAAAAAAAATACTTAAAAAGCTATGACATGCTGAATCTGTTCAACAATCTGGAGCACTGTTGCTCTGCTGCCGCTCCTCAGAAAGGGAGACAGATGAACTCAATGCCCCTATGCTGGTCCTCGTAAGTACCCCTTGATTCATTTGAACTTTCCCAGGGGCGTTCGGATAAGTAAAATTACAAGGCGGCTATGCCATGATAGCAATTATCGCCGCTTAAAAACCAACGTAAGGGCTCGCAGTGCAAACACGCACCGCATTCTGACGTACGCCTTCGTTGTGTGCATAAACTGACCTGGTAAATTTGGAATTATATATTTCTTAGAGACAATGTAGTACCGCGCCCAACATCGCCGGACGTATGTAGTACCGATTTGCTTTACTTTGCAGCCACTGCAACGAACCATAACCAATTTGTTTAAATGAGAGAGGACAACGGGATAGTAGAGACGGAATTCAGAAACTAAAGGACGTGTGGTCTCTTGCTCTTTTTAGTCCAATCACAGAACTGATCTGTCCTCTCTCCGGCGGTGGTCCCCAAACCCACCTTTCCCGATTTTCCACATTGAATCCATCAGACTGGCGTGAACAGTTTGGTTCTTTTCATGGTACAACCATCTTTTCATCTGTTACAATAAACTTTCAGATCCCAACCTTTAATCGCATTGTTTATTTGTTGGATATTTGTGTTGGCAAACGAAAATTCCAGCGAGTCCACACTTCACTGGGACGACTTCAAGACGACGGACGACGGCAAACACTGGTTCCAAAGCCCAAAAACCACACTGCCGGAGAGCCCTTTGTGCCCGGGTGCTACAAGTGATACAGCCAAGTACAATGGCGTTGCCGGCAGCTATCACGTCCACGTCTGGCATTCTTGTCCAAGGCCCCATTGCTTCACTCTCGCAGCCAACAATTCCAGAGGCGCTGACCCCGCAATCACTCGACCGACTCTAACTGGGACGCACGTGCGTTCGCAAAGTCGCAGACGCCCATGCGCCGCTTGAACACACCACTCCCCCCCCCCCTTTGCGAACACAACATAAGCAACTTGAACACGACCCCCCAACAAATCAACACACACCAATTGGACACCACTTCAGATCGCCCCACAAACCTACAAAAGCAGATGCCAAACTATCGCATGATCTCTCAGGCATGAATGGACGCAGTCAACACCAGCCCTGGCTTCGCCAGCGGTCATTGTTGCCTGAGGGGAGAACTCTGATTTCTGGTGTCTCTCGTCTTTTCCTACGACGCGGGGTTCGGCCTGATGATCGTAACGCTCCGAGCACATGCACCCTGTTTAGACGCCACAATGGTAAATTACGTGAACACCTGTCAATAGAATACAGTACTAGTTCACTTTTTAACAGGTAGCTTATGATAGAGAGTTTTTAGATTGCTCGAATCCATATTCACCGTTGACGTTTGTTATGGATGATCAATTTTCTCGGCGATGAGGTTTCACTTATAAGTGAGTCTACAAATATGACCCAAGCGACCATCAGCATTAGAAAGAATGTCCAAGCACTCACCACTTGGGTAAATGCTTCCAAAAAATATCTCATTTTAAAGGTTTTGATAAATACATGGCAGTGAGTCTACTTTTATGGCCAATCCATTGAAAACACTGAAAATTGTGGAGCAGTTATCGATATTTCAAGAACGATCTGAAACTCAACCTATTTCCTCGTCCTAAAAAATACAGTAAATAATTTTTGCTAATGATACGTTCTCTTGATATATACAAAACAGCCCATTCACGATTAAGCCCGAGAATCCTATTCAAATTTAGTATTCACTGATCGAATAGTTTGTTTGTGAACAAATTGACACTTTTATTTATGCAACATCGTTATGAGAGAAATCAAGCGGCAAGATCCTAAAATATGTGGCCGAACACTACGCAATGTGCTTCCTGCAAGACATCATATAATAATAGTTCTTGGAGAATATTTCGTAAAATATTGTTAAGAATAACCTTCCACACAGTATAATGCTTTTGCCTATCTATTTGGTGTTTTGTGTAGACAAGCATGGTGTGCGTTGCCTACTCGTGACATGAATTTTTACATCTTCGACATAATTTGTTATCTTCGAGTTAACAAGAGAGTACTTGGGTTACTTATTTTGCGTTTTCATCTAACTGGAGTTTGTTCATTACCAGTTTCTTGTTTTGGTGGATGACTTCGGATAGGTTTTAGACTGATTAGTGGTTTTTTAGTATATCAGACACAGCTCATGACTTAAGTCACCAACCGCATGTTCTCCAGATTTCCTTTAACTAGCCCAGTCAAGTAGGCCCCAAACGTTTGTTCAGTAAAAACGCCTTCAGAAAAAGTCAAAGTAGCAAGCATCCTCTGTCTCGTGGACAGTCTTTAAACATCCTTTTGGCTACTTCTTACAAAGCCTATTCTGCTTTATTTCGATGATCAGTTGGCTATAAAAGAAGAATCAATTAGTTTCACTTTGCTCTAAAATGTCTCGTTTTCTAACTGAGATGACTGGCATCCTTCGTATATGGCAGCATATAGTCCCAGGTACAGACATGCTCAGTGTGTAGTCTGGTGTTGGAATTTTGATTCTACTAAACTTCAGGAAAAGTGGCCTCTGAGGACAATTAGGGTTGCTGTACTGAGACAAAACAAAAACAAACAAAAGGACTGGAATTGCTTAATGAAATGCATTTTAACTGAAGAAATAGTCGCCAGAAGAAGCGCGCCAGGTGTCTGGAATTTCGAACACCTCCATTTCGCGAGAATCTTTGTTAAAGATGCTCTCAAAAAAAGGAAAAATAAATTTTTCACAATCTTCAGACCTTGATAGTAATGACCTCGCCGATTCCCTTTTCCTTTCAGTGTGTAGCCGACGACGGTAGCTCGACTAATGTGACAATCGTGTAGCTGTCTGGCCGACGTGGTCAAGTTTCACGCTGGTTGAGGGTGGTTGGGTCGGTGGGGTAGGGGGTAAACCCAAAGAATTTGCTACGTCTCCCTTGACTGAAGCGCATATTTGGTCAACCTCTACTAGCTATTTTTCATTTTAAAATCATCACAAACATGTACTTTCCATGTTTCCGGTGATGCGCTGCCCTCAAGCCTCTTTG